TAGCTTTCTATATCGCCTTAGTCTTATTAATAAATTAATAAAACTTCTTAAAGCTAATATATATTAAAAGAGGTTAATAAGTATAAGATAATTAATTAAATATAAAATTATATAATATAAGAGGAAGTATTATATATAGACTTATTAATATACCTTAGTATACATAAAAAGGCTACTTAGGGTTAATTATATTCTATAAAGTTAATAAGGGCTTAAAGAGGTATATTATAATATCTAGAACTAAGACTATCTCTAATATAATTTCTTTTAGGTTACTAAGAGAACTTAAGAGCTTAGCTTACTAAAATAATATTATTAATAATTAATTTCTTCTATAATTAATACTAATACTAATAATAGCCCTAATACTATTATTTAACTCGAGAATATATAATTATATAAGCTTTTTAAGCTATCTTTTATCTTATATATATAAGATCTTAAGTATTATACCTAGAAAGACTATTTTCTTAGGCTAAAATTACTAATTAGGCTAATATAAAAGCTAAGTTTCTAGCCCTCTTAGGTTAGATCTATCTAAGTTAATTTCCGAGGAGGTATTACTTATAATCTATAAGATAAAATAAGTAATTAAGGGGTCTCTCTTATTAGCGCTCTTAAGCTAATTAGTTAATTTATTTATAAGAGAAATAAAGAAGATATTATAAACTATAAAAGGTATATAAATAATAAGGTATTCGCGCTTAGGCTTATATTATCTTTATATTCCTAGCTAGCTAAGTGCTTTAATAAATATCCCTAGCGTTTTCTTAAGGCTCTTTTTATTTTATTTTTAAGAAGTAATCTACTTACTCTTTGCCTTTAGATAATAATATAATATTAAAGAGATAATAGATAGGAAATTAAATATTCTACTTATATCTTTATTTAATTTAAAAATTAAAATATATTAAATTAACTTTTATATATCCTTTACTAAATATTATCTTACTTATAACCTATAAACCTAGCTAAGCTAAATAAGCCTTAAAATATAATTATTAATATAATAGTAATCTTAAAAAATAAGTCTTAGCTTATATATTATTAGAGTAAAGCGAGATAAAAGTATTAAAATATTATAAAATAAATAGAGATATAATAGATATAATAAGATTAATCCTATTAAGCTATATTAATTATTAATTACTTATATTTACTCTTACTAAGGCAATAACTAAGGTAACTAAGTAATACTTTAATATTAAGAAAAAGGATCTTTACTAATAGGTAAATACGAGCTAACTTAAACTTAATAAAGCTAAATAATATCTTAATAGTCTTGCTAAAAGATTTAATAATAACCTAAGAGCCTATTTTATAAGCTTAAAGTAGAAGTATAGAAATAAGCTTTTAATATAATATCTTAAATATATTAATAGCCTTTGATTAATAATTAAATATATTATATAACTATAAGTCTATTGCTAGATTAAGGTAATTATAATAAGGTCTAAGTAATTATAATTAAATTAGGAAATATAACTTAGTTATTTAATATTTATTACTTTTCCCTTACTTAGTAAGAGATATTATTTAGTTATTTATATTATTATATAATATAAAACTTAGGGCTATTATATAATATATAATTTATAATAATATATTATTTTAGTTTATCCTATTAAGGATAATATAAATATTAAAGATATAATAAAGTATACCTTAATTATTCCTTTAGTAACTAAATTATATTATAAATAAGAATAATTTAAAATTTATATCTTATTAATTACTCTTAAGTATTATATTCTTTTAGGGCTTATATATAAAAAGTAACTTATAGATATATATTATATAAAATAAGAGAAGTAAATAACTATATATACTTAGCCCGCTTTATTTTTATTATGAAATTAATAAGATCTAATCTTATCTCTAATAGCTATAAGCTCTAATTACCTTTATAAACTTAATTAGGGGATTTACCTATAAAAGAATTATATATATTAGCTAACTTAATTAGGCTAAGAGGTTATTATAATTATAAGATATTTATTATAACTAAATATTTATATCTATATATATTATATATATATATATATATACTTTTATATAGATATAAATACCTCTCTATAATAGGCTCCTGTCACGAAAAAAAGAAGCCGGGCCCTAATAGCCCGTAACCTTAGGCCATTAGGCCAAAAGGTCATGCCGTGCGCTCTTAGTTAGAGGCTCACGGGTCAATTAGGCCCTATAGGGCATTGCCTGCAGGGCTTGGCTAGGGCCCTAACAGCTCCCCTCTTATTATCTCTAAAACCTTCTTTTACCTTATTAAATACCTTAAAGCCTATTCTAAGAGCTTTAATATCTCTAGAGTTTATATATTATATTCTACTTCGAGGCTATAGCCTATAGTTCTTATCTAAGAGCCCCTAAGATAAATCTAGCTTTAAGGAAGAGCCTAATAAGGGCTAATAAGGGGAGCCTATAAGAGATAAGCCTAAAAAAGAAGATCTAAAATATAATAAATAAGAATCTAAGAAGCTATTACCTAAGAAGCCTATAATTAAAAAAAAAATAGCTAAAGAATAATTACCTTAGTCTTAGATAAGAAAGATTAATTAATATAAGAATAATATAGCTAGATTATATTATAGCTAGGAAATTATTATAAAGAAGCTCTATAATGCCTAAGCTAAGCGCTAAGATAATAAAAGTAAAGAAATTAACTTATTAAGAGTAATAAAAAAGCTTTATTTACCTTTATCTTCTTAATAAATATTATAATCTATAAGCGCCTAGGAAATATTAACCTTAATATATTATTTTATTTAATTAGAACTTTAAAATATTTAATTAATAATTAACCTAGCTTTAGATATATCTATATTATTAATAATAAGAAGTATTTAAGATCTATACTTATTAATATAAAAGGTAAGTAATAAGATATAAAGAAAATAATAGGCTTTAATATAATATTTTATATTAAGCTAAAAGAAATTACTAAGGATTAGAATATCCCTAGTAATAAGGCCTTAGTCTTAACCTTAGATTATTTAAATATTAAGACTATCTAGGTATATAATATTCTAGCCTTAACTCTCTAGGTTTAAGCTAAGGCATAGAATTTTATTTTAGCTAAGTTTTATATCTAAGAGTAATTTAAGTAACCTTATAAGCCCTTAGTTATCTTTTTATACTTAAGATAATTATATTAACGCGAGGATAATTCTAATATTAAAGTTAATATTATTAAGCTTAAATACCTATTAGTAGCCTTAAGATATAAGCCTAAGATTTACTTTTACCTTAGTATCCTTAAAGCCCTTATAGATTATAACTAGAAGTAAAAGATATAAGCCCTCAAGGGGGTAACTAGCCCTTATTAAGTTCTTTTATAATACTTACTAAAAGGTATATCTAAAATCCTTTATTATAACCTCTAGTAGCTAGCGCTTAAGTTATATCTAAGTATAGAATAAGGCTTAATAAATAAATTTTATTTCTCCTTAGAGTTTATATTAATTTTAGAAACTTAAGGTAAGATTATAGTCTTAATAATCGCCGGGGATATATAATATACCCTTATTATTAAGTATAAAGGCATAACAGAAATATATTATATTACCTTAATAGTAGATATATATTTTAAGAATTAAATTAAGTTTAATAGGCTTAAAATTATATAGGCTAGAGCCGAGGTTAAAGAAAAGGAGCTATAAAAGTATTATTACTAGTAAAGGATTAAGCTTCTTAAATATAATAAAGAGCTATTTAAGAAGCTAGAGGTTATTATCTAGTTTAATATTAATATCTTTAAGGCTAGGCCTAATAGGTATTTCTATTTATAAGATAATATAATAGACTAGGGCTAATTTTTATATATCTTACCTTAGTACTTAATTACCTTATAATTTTATCCCTAGGGAGATTAATATCGAGTTTAATACCTAATTTAAGTTATAATATAAAGGTTTAGATAAGGAGGAGGGCAATAATAATAAAAATAGCGAGGATTAAGAGGATAAAGATAGTAAAGAGGATAATAATAATAATAATAATAATATAAGCCTTACCTTAGTAATAGTTATCTTGCTAGTATACTTCGAGGATAGTCTTTATAATCTGAGGCTTACTTGGGAGCCCTTGGGGCCCCCCTTTTCCGGCTATAATCAGACCGATTAAGCGTAGAGAATGTCTTCCAGTGATACTTTGCGGTATCAGTCCAGGTAGATATAGGCAGCCTTACTAGTCTTAACGCGTCTATTTCTACTATCTGACTTGAAGAACCAAGGATCAACTTGAGTGCTTCGGTGCATCCCCCCCTGCCCCTTCGGGAGCAGGGCTGACTATTCACACCCCTCAAGGCCCGACTCTACGTCTACGCCACTATCGCTTTCGTTGTGTATAGGAGAGTAGAACTTTGGTGACGACGGGATTTGCAGGAAGTTTCTCCGTATGAAGTATTAATATTGTGTTTTTTATTATAGTTAAAGACCGGATATTGGTGGGATATCTATGCTAATAGATGGAAGTTCTCCCGTCTGCGGTCATAGGTAATTATCTGCTCCTTAACAGGCCCTCTCGTTGACGACACTATGGTTCAACCTACGAGTTTTTACAACAGGTGCATTGGCCCTAGGCCTCAGCCACGTGAATTAGAGGGTGCGGTTCATTCATGCTCCCCCCAAAGCCCCCCCCCCCTCTCAGGCTTCATCAAGAAAGACAAGTTTGTGCCAATAGGTAAATATCAGGGAAAGACTGATCCTTCCAAGATATTGCTGGAGATGAACAAGGCAAGACAATGCGTAATAAAGATTACTCGCGTGGGATATCAACCATGGAGTGACGAATGAGGATGCAACCGAAGATGTCTGGCATACAACTATCACGGAGAAGTCCCGCTGAGTCCAAATCATCACCACCAGCGGATGATGAGAACGAAGAGATTGGATACCTTCTGGCAGCACTATTCGGATATAACCACAACCAAATCGCAAACCGAATCAGGACATTCCCGGAGTCTCATTTTGACCTAAAAGCAACAAGGCAGCCTACATATTCCCCTCGGCGAAATATCCCTTCAGGCGCGCTCTCCATTCGTGACCAAACTCCCACGCTCTTTCAACACACTTGATGGCCTTGGCTTCCAATAACTGCTTGTTCAGCCTTCCATACCGTAGGAATAGCTGATCCCCGTTCAACGCGTCTAATGTAGCCACCAGCCACCGGATGTCAGATTCCAGCATCTCGCCCCGCCCAGTCAAAAGATCAAACATGGCGTCACTACCGATGGACCACATGGTTGTGCTGGCAAAGAGGTTATCGGTTTCGGGAGCGGCAGGCGGCATGACCTGAAGAGCATTATCGACTTGGGCTCGAAAGTTGTCGACATCTTGGTTGAAGATCTTACCAAAAGCCGTATTCAGCGTTTCTCGAGGGATTTTGTTGGAAAATGCAAGAGTCTGAGCCCGTCCATTTTTGAGAAGATCGGTCAATTGTTTATTGAGCTCTTGAGCCTCCTTGATCAGCTGCTTGTTGGCGAAACCTAGGCGATCCCAGATCCAGTGCTGGCGAGGTCGGTCAGTAGGAAATTCGCGCATATAGAGATCGATGTTGGTCCAAAGAGCTCGCTGCTGCTTCATGAATTCAAACTCGAGCTGCCTGCATAAGGATATCCCATCCCTGTAGCCATCCTTGAAGTAGCCAGTGGATAGGTCCTGATTGTACGCATTGAAACGGGTCAGCGCGGTATGAAGATCGTCCTCGACACTGTCAAGGGCCTCCCCGAGGAACCCATAGAGCGATGGGACAAGAGGGTGCCAGCCTTCGAGCGTGTCTTCCTTCGAGACCTCGCCACGAAGTTTGTGTTGAGTCGGGGTTGTCATCACACAAATCTCGGTAAATTGTAAAGGCACCCAGGTAAACGTGGAGACGGCACTACAATATCTGTCGACTGCATAAGCGGCGAGGAGGGAGATACACCCCAGGACAATCATGAGAGAAAAGACTGTGACCAAGATGATGTGCACCACTATCCGAGGGACCAGGGCGTCGAGCAGTCGATGGATCATGGAGCAAGTATTGATAACGAGGGACAAGGCGTCGAAGAAAGCGATGATGAGCAAGTGAAGAATGTTCTTGAACGGCTGCACCGCATGCTCAAACGGCCCGCGCAATTGTCCAAGTTGTACTCGCAGCATCTGGAGCCAGGACTTCATCTTTGTGAAATAACCGTCGAATGGGGCATCAGAGGAAGGGAGATGAGCTTTGCCCTGCGCGCTAGAGCTGTCTTGGGGGTCCTCCCTATCCTGAGAGGGTTCAGGTTGAGGCAAATAATTTGGTGGCCGGGAGGAAGGCTGGTCGGCCGGTCGAGGGGAGGGCTTTCTATCAGACCGTGCCGAGGACTTTTCGGATCGCGCGGGGGACTTTTCGGATTGAGTGCGGGTATGTGAAGGTTCCCGATGTGCTTTCTGCCCAGAGGAAGACGCCCGAGACCTCTCGTTGTCGGGATGTGAGTCATGGTTGGATTTGAAACCACTTGCTTCCTCCTGTTCTCTTTGGCGTTGCTGTCGCTTCTGGAGACGGCGGGTTGCTCTTCGGATGGCTTCTTCATGATCATCATCCTCAGTGTCACTGAGGAGGTGGCCAGGCATGGCGAATGGTGATAGAGGACGACGTGGTTAGGCGCACAGAAGAAGAATAGAAGAAGGATGGTTCTTGAGGAGAAGATGACAGGTAGTTGGCAAGGGAAGATGAAGAGGCATGGGAAAATCGCCATCGAAGGGACGATATAAGGGTGACGACAGTGAGTATGCCTACGCTATCTGGAACAAAGGATGGAAGCGGATGGTTTCTCAAGGCAGAAGCATGTTTACCAACAAAGAGCTGTGAATGACTAGGCAGATGTGTCTTTCATAGGAGCCCTGCATGATGCATGCCGAGCCAGACAAAGTCCCAGAACCAAGAGCCTTTCAACTCTAGGCAGAGCCGGATTGACAGATGGAGTTGACGCCAGTTGGTCGAGATCTTGTCACTGTCAAGCCACCAATGCCCCTTGTTCTCTGGATATGAGCCCCTCCACCAGGCTGAAGGGCATGATCTCCGGTTCAAGAGGGGGTTTGGAGCTTCGGAGGGGAGGCGGTGGGATAAAGGAAGTTCAAGCTGGCTTTAATGCAGCCCTTGCATGGTGATCTCAAAGAGCAAAGGCAGAGTACAATGAATGAAGCATGCCTATTGGCATACACGATAAGAAAGACGGGATTGCGTCAGAGAGAAGGCATTCTGGGTGAAATGAGAGCAGCCTAGAAGCCACTGCGAAGAGCCAAAGAAAGGGAGGGACACGTGAGATACTTCACGCTTACCTGGCATTCACAAACTCTGCTCTCCCAATGAATATTCTAATACAAACTTGTTTCCTCCTTTCCCAACTTCCTTCAGAGCCTTTTTTTCTCTATCTTTCCACTGTTTCCCATCACGAGCACTCCTCACGAGACGCACCGCACTCATCGACACCTGCCCGCTGTACGACCGCAACCTTCCCCAGAAGCTGACGAACCCGAGACACACATCATGCATTGGCAGCTAGTTGTTGGTTTCATTTCTGCAGCCGTTATGGCTCTCGCAGCCGGCGGCCGCTACGTACTTGGAAACGGAGGCCCACACGGTGTGAAGCTCCCTGAACACCTTGTTAACCATGCTGTTGACAGCAACGACAGTAAGAATTCTTGCTGAATACTGTACGATCCTAACTGTCTACTAGAACTCGAACGACATATCTGCGTGGCCTATGAAGCGCTCTTCCAGCTTGAGCCCAAGTACCATATATCGCCCCCCAACTTCTACCAGCTCCTTCGTGTGCCTCCTCTGCCGCCAGCCGTTTTCGGTGATATAGACAACGACTCGGCCCAGACTGCCCGGCTGCGAACCGTCATGGCGAGACTCGATGGAAAGATGCGCAAGCTATTCTTAGAGCGGCGGGCTCTCCCCAAAGGCCCCGGCCGAGACAATGTGATCAAGGCCATCGCGACATGGAACAAGATTGGCTCGGTTTTGTTACACCCGCTGGTTCGTGATTTGTATGAGCAAGAGTTTGGGGGGAATAACGTCGGTGAAGTTTTGATGAAGATGTGTGGAGAGCGGTGGGAGAAGAAGAGGTGATACGGGACCGCGATTTAGGGGGAGTCGGAGAAGGAGAGAGACATTTCATGTAAACATGTGTGCAGTATGTTACGCTGCAGCTTTAGATATGACTGCTGTATCTGTTTGATGTTTAAGAGCATCCCAAGGGTCATCATCCTAGATGAGTGATAGTGCCTCCTTTTGAGAGGGACGATCTTGTGTAAGCACCTTGAAACGTGATGCTAGCACGCTGCCTAGAAGACCCCCACGGCCTCCAGGTCAAATTCTCCTGAGAGCTGACGACTGGGCCATATTTATGTTTAAGATGAAGTGTTTTCTGTCACTGGACGTGATTTCTAAGCGCCTAAGGCCCCCGACTATAGGTAAGAGGCACATGTTATAACCAGGTTATAACTGGGCGTCTAAGTTATAACCAAGAGTCTTAGGTTATGACTGAATTCTAACCGATGATTTGGGTTATAACTGAGTTATAACTAGGTGTCTACGTTATGACTTATGATGTAAGTCATGATTAGTTTTAGATTAGAGAAGTTGTTACAGTTATTTCATCTCCTGGCATATTATTTACTACTTAAAACAGGTAGAAAACCTTCTGGCAATGTCCTTGACACTTTGCACTCTCTGGCCAGGATCTCTGATTGATTAGACCCCCACGGCCGTAGTATCTCGGCCGTGATCTCTCGGCCATGGAGCCAATGAAAAAGGTCAGTAATTGTTCTGTTTGCATTCGTAGATCCTGCCTGGTCATGCACTTGCTCTTTTCGGGCTGCTATCCATGGCAATTAACACGTCGTTCAATATACACTCCACACACGCAATATGGGCGTTGATGATCAAGGCAGCAGTTCTTTCACTGTCCGGAGCAGGTAACGTAGGATATGTCACCTCATGGAATCTGATTGTGAAGATCAAGTGACAGGTCGGCGCTCTATCGACTTCCCTGCCTTTGTTCAGCTCTGAAACTCAACCTGATGCCAAGTGATCCATCTTTAGGGGGAGCTTGGCCGAAAACGGTCTCTTTCAAAGCAGCGATGGAGGATTGACTTGTTTGTTACCTGTTACCTGCCTGGTGTCGGCCTTTTCTAAGGCACCCGCCAAAGTCCGCGGCAGTTAGACGGTGCTTTGATCCATCGAGATCTTTGAGTGAGTCACTGTTGCATCTAGGCAGAAGCATCCGTCTTTGTGACGTATGCTGCGGTATGATGACAACTGCGTTCTTTGTTTTCATGTCTGATGCGTTTCTCTCTATGAAACGAATGTGACGATTTTTGAATGCCTGGTCATAGAACTCCAGAAAATCTCTGCAGATGGCTGGACATGCGTCCATTCATGTTGAAAACGCCTCTTTCTGCGCGTCCAGCTGCAACTGGACCTCTTCACTATTATAGCTGTTCAGGTTCACACGTAGTCAGCCCCTCTTCCTTCACTCGTCCCCCAATCTTCACTCACATCACCATCTGCCAACTTTATAACCTCATTTCCCCATCACTCTTCGATTTTTATCTGGCCTCGCCGACTCAACCACAAGCAACCACGAGCAACATGGGCACGCTGACCCCACAAGACCGCACTCGGCTCAGAGCACGGCAGATACAACGATTTCACGCCTCCCACCTCGAGAAAGGACCACACAAGTTTGCTGAGATCATCACCACAACAGACTTGGACCTTGCCCGCACCCTCCAGCCAACCTGGAAGCACCTGGGTACGGATGACTGCGAGTATCCTGAGAATTGGGCCTTGAAGAAGGCCTCACTCGAGACTGCACTGAGATCTTTTCGCAAGAATGCTGAGCAAATGATCGCGGGCCATGCCCCAAAAGAGGTCGATGTGGAAGCCGAAGTCAAGGGTCAAGATCGAGTCGTCGACGCGACAGCTATTGCTCCCACGATGGAAGATCTGCCATCTCCTCTTCGCACCAACCGCCAGGAGATGAAGGCTAGCCCGCTGGCCCTCATACCTACAGATCAAGGTTACCAGAATGATGAGGCTGTCGAAGATGGCCTTGACATCCCCGCCGACTCTCATCTCGACCACATCATCTGTGATGGTTCATTCAGTCGCATTTCTCCACGCCCGGCCTTCATATCAGGTGGTTTAAACCCCACAACCCATCATGAAACTACACCCAAGGCCACCAGAGTCGAATCTCCGTCTCGATACAGACAGCACTATGAACCCGAGTGCAACACTCACCAATCGACCATGACCATGACCATAACCGTGCTCCAAGCGCGAGTTGAGGCAAAGGATAAAGAGTTGGACAAGTTGGATGATACCGTGATCAACCTCAGCAAAGAATGTGCCAACTGGAAACGGATTGCAGGAGAGAAAGAGAAGGTTGTGCAGGATACTATCAAGAAGTTGGACGCCACGCAGAAGAAACTGCGCCAGGCTGAGAAAGATAGGTTGGTTCTGATTGACAAAGAAAATGACCTGGTAGAGAAACTCAAGAACATGGAACTGGAGTTGGCCAAGACGAAGCAGATGGGGCAAGGAAGAGAAACCCACAAGAAGCAGCAAGACAAGAAGAGTGACAGCATTCTCACACCCAGCAACCTCGAGCGTCTCCAAGCTCTGATGGTCAAGGCTGGTGTTGAGCGGGGCTAAGCATACCTGATATTAGAGGAGAGCTGATGAGTTGTCACAGCCAAGTTTGCTCACATGTTTACCGTATTTGATAGCACAATGCGTGGTACTAGGTATAGATGGTATTAGATGATGACATGATTATTTCGTATGAGTAGGCTCTTTTCTAGCCTCAAACCTCCACCTAATAGGGTAGTGTAAGACCACGATACTGATATTAAGCCTGCCCTTCATTTCAAAGGCAACCCCAAGATCATGGTGACAGGTGTACGTATCATTTCTCCGCTGGCGTTCTTGTGCCTTGGGTTTTAATATTAGCATGTGTCAATGGCCGTATCCTTTCCCATGGCTGGCAGCTTCTTTTTGGAACCTCCACCAAGTTTATAATGATTTCTCCGCGTGATAAATAGATTCAGAGCCGATGGTGGCGATTCAAATAGATGCACTTGGGATGAGTTGCTAAAACTGATTTTCATGTCTAATGAATAGTCAACTACTCACAGTAGTACAAAGACCATATTCTCAATATAATCTATAGCTATCCAAACCACCAGGCAGCTTTAATATAACCTAGCCCTCCAGCCACCACCACGATAGAGCCAGGACACCTTCTCCATATCCAAGTCCCAGCCTTGCATCCAGTTCCTCGCAGACAATGTCCAGAATGTCGAGGTGACGGTCGTTCTGCTGGTACAGATCCTGGACCAACCACGCCATATCGTCGGCCCCGCAGAGGACCTTGAGCCTCCAAATCATGTTCCCAATCAGCGCATCGCCGAGTTCATCGATGGTTTGAAGGAGCTGCTCCTCGGTCCAGTCCTGCAACCCAGCTCGAATGGCTCTTCTGTCGATCGATGTGCGCAGGGGAACTCTGTCTTGCAGAGGGAGGTTGATCTCCGAGGCCGAGTCTTGCGGCAAAATGGAACATGCCCGGCCTACGAAGCTGCCAGGGGGTGCCGAATCTGACGAGATTGTGATCTGAGGTGGCGGTGTCAGATTGGACGACAAATTGATCAGAGCCGGTGGTGGTGCCGTTTGCAAGTCCGATACAAATGATGGTGGAGTGTAGAGGACATCGGAGCTGGACCCGGAAGAAGACGGCGTTCCTGCCGGAGATGCAGGCCGGGGTGGAAACTGGGGGGGTGAAGGGGGTGGAGGCGGCGGAGGTGGCGGCTGCACAGAAAACTCTGGCACCACAGGATTTGGAGGCTGTTTGTGATGGCTACAGCTGTGATTGCAGTTGTTGATGAACTGCTGATATTGGAAAGGCTGGGATGGGTGTATCGGGAAGGCTGACGTCGACTGCTCGGTCGGAGGTGCGTCTACCATGACGATGTCGTGATCCTCGGTCTTGACGATTGGGATCTGGTCGTCATTGGAGCTGTCGTACGAGCCATCATCCTCACTGGCAAAGTCCTCGTACACCAAGACACCTCCCTCGTGACAGTCGGAGTTGTTGGAGTCATCGGAGTCGGAGCTAGAGCTGGAGCTGCTGTCGTCTCGGTGGTAGACATGAATGGTCTGTCTCAGGTTGACGTCCCGACCTACTCCCGCGATGGCATTGGAGCCAATCTTGCCGCCCCTGACCTGGTTTCCGTTGAGAGACTGCTTCAGCTTCAGCTTTTGCTTCTGCATCGCGGCCTTGCCTTTGGGGGGCCTAGAAGGTGTGGCGGAGGAAGTCTTCTTGCTGGGTTTGGCCTCGCGAGCGAGCCTCTGGCTTGTTGTTGGCGCCCAATCCTTCCACCAGCCCTGGAGTCCGAGAAAGTTATCTGCGTCAGCACGCCAGATATACTTGGTATCCCCGTTTCGAGCCTCCTCCTTGATTAGTCCACCGTTGACCATGTCCTGGATACGAGCGCGGAGTCCGGTTTCCACCTTTGTCCTCATCAAGTCGACAATATGAGCGCCATGCTGGGTCAGGTACATGGCCTTCAGTAGCTCCTCAAAGTTCTTGCGCCACTTGAGCGGCGTTAGGCGATTGCGGATTATATGATCCTGGACTGATGTGCGGCACTGCGGTCCAAAGGTGAATCTGGTGCCAGCCTGCATCAGGTGGCTGTACCGCTGCCCGCAGATGGTGTGCTTGTCGTTTGAGAGGCACATGGTGATGAGTTGTCGGCTAACAGGGGGCTATGTCGGGGCGCACACTGCGAACATCAACGTGTGGCCAAGTCGGACGGCTTCCAAAGGGGGGATTGACGATGGGATGGCGATGGTGAAAGTTTTAGATTCTAAAGGCCTGGAAGAGGAGGGAGGGCTGAAGGCTGAACAAAGACCGCTGGAGCCTTGAGTGCTGCTTCACTGTCCGGCAATCGAGGCAACAAGGCCTGCTTGGACCAAGTTGCATCCTGTACATTGGCGTTGCCATCACCATGTCCACGTGGCGATCGCCGAGGCAATGAAAGAACTGTGAATTCAGTGGTTGATGCATGGTCAACAAGCACCAGAGGCGACAAGGGGTAGGCAGACGTTGACTAAGGGCCCTGATCGCTGCGACGCATCTATCCGTTGAAAGGATGTTGCTAACGTGGCTTGCTTTCGGTTGCTTGTCTTGTCTAAATCGATCAGCAGCTTGTGTCTCATCATTTGTTTCCTTTCACGTCTCCTGGCAGGCTCGCCGTGGCCGGTGAAAGCTTGTCAAGCACAGCCATTTAAATAGGTAGCGGCCAACTGCATATTCCATACATGCAAGCACTTTATGAGCTGCAAGTGCTCTAGGCACCGCCGTGTTTCTTTGACCTTGCCACCTGCACTTCCCATTCCTTATGTCTTCCAGGCATCACTTCGGACACTTAGGGAGGGGGGGCAAAAGACTCTCTTCTTGTGCATCTGCCTGCCTGAATCTTCTCCTTGTCTCTATCCATCCTCCAATCCTTCATCTTGACAACTCTCGACAAGATTTCAGCCCCCCCCCCCCCCCCCCTCGACAACCCCAATCTCAAGCGTCCACATTGCCTCCTGGGTTGACCACCAACAACTTGCACCATGGCTGGCGGGTCCAAACTTCGTCTGGCCGAGAGCCTCATGCTCTCCAAGAGTCTCGATAAATTCACCGACGCCGACACCGCGCTGATTGAGGAAGCTGTCGTCGCCATCGAGCGTGATATCGCCCGCGACAGTGGTCTCACCGAGGCAGAGTTCCGCCTCTTGACCTTCTTCATGGACAACAGTGATGACAAGCACAGTCTCATCACCGACTACGCCCTCAAAATCATCGGTGGCCGCAAGCGAGACAAGTATTCGCAGTGGGACAAGGACCTGATTCACTCGGCCGCAAAGTCCCTTTCTGATACTCTCCAGGCACAGGGCAAGCTACCCAAGGATGCCTCCAGGTCAGAACAAAAGATCTACGTGGCAGACGAGACCCTCAACCCCAGGTACGCCGAGTCAACCGCGAACGCTGCGTCCTCGATTGTGTCCCACTCGCCAAGCATGCTGGCCACCCTCGAGTCTCTGGCCAATATCCCCAACATCATGGGGAGCGGGGGCCTTTCTGACCTCAACTCGTACGATGCTGGCCGGATCGCTGCTTTCATGAAGGCACACCCCGACCGCTTCGAACAGCCAGCTCCTTTGACCGTGACCGGCCCTCCCAAGGAACGCACGCCTCGAGGACGTCTGCCTCCGGGCCCTCAGTTCCCGCAGCTTCCCTCATATGCCGAGTGTCGTCTTGAGGACTTGCCCGACACGATCGCCGACATTGACGCCGAGATCGACCTTCGTCTCAACCACCAGGCGGAAATCTCCGAATATCTGATTCGGAACAGCGGAGTCCTCTGGCGTCTCAAGATGAAACGCAACATGCTGTAGCAAAAGGAGTGAAAGAATGGTGATTTAGGCGTTGATGGTTAACGTAGAGATGCCATGTTTAGGTACAATGAAGAGACAGGAATGTAACCGCAAATAGACTAAAATCATTGTGAAAGCAAAAGACTGTAAACTTGAGTTTCCGGTGAAATACATCCCCATTACCCAAAATCAAACCATCAGTTTCACGCCACACACAGCCAACTTCTAGATCAAGCCGTGCCATCTATGAAGCTGTAGTGCTCTTATCGCTTGCCCCTCTTGCTTGGCCTCGGCGGACGGATCTTGTCATACCACCAATCCCTGATCTTGATGGCCTTGCCCATCTCGGCGCCCCTATTCCCAACGTTGCCCAGCTCTTCAATCGTGCGATTATCCAGCAGCCAGTGAGTAGTCACCTCCTCGCAGGCCAGAACCCAACCTGAGATGGAAGACTTTTGATGATCAGTCTCATGGTGGCATGTGACCTTCCGGGTAGTGCCCTGGTTGATAGTCATGTTCTGCCAGTATTCGACCTGAAGAGCCAGTCTCGAATCAAGGCCGGACAGCTTGGTGATAGCCCGGTCGATACGGCTAGCTATCCACTCGATAAGAGGCAAGATATGATCACGGGAGAAGTCGATGGCGTCGATTGCATCCCGAGTCCACCCTCTCCGGGGGTCATCAATGTGCGGTCTCAAACCTTGGTCGACATCATTGAAGATGGGCACAATATCGTTCCTGATGGCTTGCAGCTGTCTCCTGAGGGCCCAAAGTGACTTCAATGCATGTCGGTTCTGTGCTTCTTGAAGCTGCCAGAAGCCGTTGATCGAGTTTCTGATCTGGTGGTCCGACGTACCCTGGTTGATGGCATGGGCGAGAGTGACAGCCGTCTGCGCATTGACAAGAGTGCGTGTGACGCGAAATAGATCCCTGTAGTAAAATTGCATGGTCCCGAATCGCCTCAGGCAGTGAATGATACGATCTGCCAGGTTAGCCTCTGGTCCAGGCAAGGAGCTGCCCTGCCAGGAAGCCACCCCGTAGCTGACTTCGGTCAGCTCGCTTCTCAGCGCGCCGACGAGATTGTATGGCTCCAGTGGGAGGAGTGGGTTGTCGGCGTGTTCAACAGGTGTGACGAGGGGAAGTAATGGTTCCTCGTAGTCGCGGTAGAGCATGTGGATGGGCTGCCAGATGAGATATTCGGCCGTCTGATCAGTAGAGGACGCCAAGACCCAGGCTGGATGACCTTGGCTGGCAAAGGATGCGATGAGGATGGCGAGAAGGGCAATGGCACAGGCAAAAACAGACCAGCGAAGATATGGAGTCTGGCCCACCAGGCTGGACAAGCGTGTTATGGCTCTTTCTGGAGCTGCCCCTGGTTCCAATGGTGGCTCAGGCGAGGATCGGGATGAAGGAGATGCGCTCCGCTGAGCATTAGCCCACAAGTCGATGAGCTCATAATTGATGTGGACAAGAGCCGGCTCATGGAGGGAAGTTGTATGCGAGACAAATGCAGAGTCTCGGCCCAAGTGAATCATACCGTCAGGAACCGGAATAAAGTCGGGATGGATGCATAGTCGAAGCATAAATGGCTCTGATGGGGCAGGACTAATGCGAAGAGGCAAGGTGAGCTCGTGACAGTATGAGTCCATGTCATAGCTGCCATCAAAGTCAGGGCTAGAGCATATCGAGAGTGGGGATTCGATCGGCGAGGCAGGGTCGGATCTACGACAGGGTTGGCGTGGAGAATGGTGCCCATCTCGAGGTGATGGTTCAGATTGAGTTGACCAATGGTGGTTTGCCTGTCGCGTCCCATCACCTTCTCGCCAGGTCGCTCTCTGGCGGGGCTGGGACATGTCTCGGTTAATTGGTCAAGAATAATGGTCGGAAACTAGACTATACCAGGATGTTAGCACCGCAGACAGTGAGTGAATTGGATGGGTGAGACAACATGGAAGTAAACGTTGCGCCTGCTAAGCAAATGGATGTGATAAAGCCAGAGGTGGAGGTGAAAGAGCAAGGCGGGGGAACCTCGACAGACAGTTAAGTAGGCCGAAGAACAAAGGAAATAACAGGGCAAAAATGATGCATCTCAATCGAAAGCCACCAACAGGCCTGGGCTGAAAGCCTGGGCTGGGCGTTGGTGACAAGGGAAGGCTAGGTGTCAGACAACTGGCTCCACAGGGATCATTAATAGCACCAATCAATTAATAAGAATTATCTCTAGAACAAAAGAAATCGAACAGCCATATGTTCGGGCACAGCTATTTAAGCTCATGTCGTTAGGATTATGCGACAGGCCAGATGTGAAACCGGATAGTTACATCCGGTCACACGAATGTTATGCGACACTGGGCGATCGACCTGGGGCTGATGCCTAAGGCAACAGTTTCTTCAAGCCCGCCTTGATGATTAATTGCTGAGTCATCGAGATATCGGATAAGATAAGATAAGATCAGATCAGATCAGATCAGACATCAATCAGTGACATTATTTCCAGCATGGCTTACTGATTCCATAAGGGGCATGATGTAATTCATAGCCTTCTACATAGGTAACTGAGGACGGCAGGTATGACCCTTGCAGCGCAAGCATCTCATCAGCGATTTACTGGGCTGCATCCACCAAGAGCGCCAAGGGCCCGACCGTTGGTACCCTGAAGAATGGCACAACACTTGGCTGCAAGTCCCAAAGTCAGGAAGGACAGTAAATTTCTACTGTCGCTGGGCGAGCAGAGCCAAGTCTTGGAGGGGATAGACTAAAGCTTGTTCCAAATATCAGAATACTAAGAAGGAACTAAACCCCAGGCAGAGAACCCCAAGACTAGGGAAAGATGGCATCCCACAGCTGGAAAGAGACAAGGTCTCAAGAAGAAAAGAATTCTCCATACAGAGAGAAGGACAGGGTCCCAAGCGAAAGAGGAACAGGGCCCCAAGTGGTTCTGTTTCCCAAAACTGGGAAGAGACTACGTCTCAAAAGGCCAAAGCCTCGAGAATGGAAGGAACGGGGTCCCAAGGGATGGCCCCCAAACGGGGAGAGGACTGAGTCCTAGGCACTAGAAGGGGGCATAGCCCCAAAAAAGAAGAGGTCCCAGAACTGGGAAGAGATGATGTCCTCACCAAAAGTAGTCAGAACCCAGATATGGGAGAAAGCCCAAAGAGCGGTATCCTATCACTAGGAAAGTGTTAGGTCCAGGGGCGATAGCAGAGAGAGTAATGTTCCCAGAGAAAACCAGACGTTCTTTTCTCAAAGTGGGAAAGGGATCGAGTTCTTGCGGAACCCAATGACTCTAAAAGAGTCTAGCAAATCGATTTTGCGCGAAGCCCAAAGGGCAAAGAAGCATATCCCATGACTTAGCAATAAGGCCATCTAGCAGCCGGGATGCTAATAGGAAAGACGATTCAGCACGACCCGACGGTCAAATACCCTGCGATTAGGGATACTGAGATGTCTTTCCCAGCGGCGCCATATTCAGAGGTCCACAACTAGACATAGAATGCCAGGCGCCATATGGCCTTAGTGCGAAGACAGGTCCAAAGGAAAAGGAAAGAGAGTATAGGTTATGAGAGGACAGAATATTTTCGGTTTTAGTAAATCTCCTGGCCCAGGCAGTAACCACTAAGCGCGATAGAGATGAGGAGTCTAGATGATAAGTCACCATGAAGCAACGATTATCAGAGGGGGTGGTAAATAAATCACGATGTAACCTAGCAGCCACGCATTGATAATTGATGTCTTTATCACGGTTATTAAACGCCGCTTTTGGGAGGAGAGGCGCCATTATTAAGAAGGTATAACCTGGTTTAATTAGGGAAGTTAATTCGTTCACTCGTTGCCCAAAGCCTCGGCGGATGCCTAGTCCTTAGAGTTCTTGCGTTATTGAATTCGACGTGACTGCTCATTCTCAGTCAGGGACAAAGGCGCCTTGACCGGTGGGCCGCTGCTTTCACCGGCGTTGTCAGAACAGTGAAGTGGATGATAGAGCTTTATCCTGCAGTGAATATGCAAGTATGACCGATTGATGCTCCATATTCCCATATTCAGAGTCGTTCATTCACCCGGCGGCGCATCACTTTGAGGGATCTATGTTGCAGTCAATTCTGTCGAAGTGAATCACGACTACATCAACAGCGACAAACTGCGACTAATTACGGTTGCATCGCTCACAAAGAAGAGTTTCAAAGAAAGCAGGCATTCGTATGATTGCCGGTAGCCTGATCCAAGTGAGACGTCTGCGTAAAGGGGGTGAGTGATCATTTGTCCAGGTAGGGTGAGGCCCAGCCCAAACTCGCTGACATACCATCCTTCACGCGCGTCAAACACCTTTGTCCACAACAGGCTGCCTTCTCGCGATGGATCGTGCTTTGCATCAGCTTCACTCTGATAGCTCCTTTGATCTTAGATGCAAATTTCTTTGCCTGATCCCACAAAGCGCCTCTGCAGGTCGCATCAGCAAGCTCAGGTTCTGCCTACTCAGGTCTCTCAATCCTTGACAAGGCGTCACTAGCGAAGGGCTTCTTTGGTCAAAGTTGGCCCTGTCTTGTCCATTTTCTCTCTAACCAAAGCCTGACGGGTGATTTGCGATATCCCAAGTTGATGACTCGCACCGGGATTGTTAAATGAGGCATGTGTTCAAAGTGAACCGTGTTTTGGTGAGGGACCTATCGGGCTGGTTCGCGATGGCGACATTTGTGGATGCCTTTGGCTAGGCACGTGCCTTTGAACAAGTGGGTGCTTTGAACGGGAGGATGCCTTCAATCAGGCAGACACCTTTGATCAGGGGCATGCCTTTGTGAAAAATGATGCATAGCACAAGTCAACACCTTTCAAAAGAAATGGCCGGTGCTCTGCGATGCGATGCGACGGAAATCCGGGCAATACTCTTCGATCATGAGCTGGACCCCCAGCAAGATGCGACTTGAGATGGTGATTTGGATGACATTACTCTCGGGGTACGAGCCTGGCTCTAGATTTTGAGAATCTCTACCCAGCCCCTAGACTCCACAGCAAAGCCAGTAACCTGAGGGGATGGGAAGATCTCGACGGGCCCAGATCGCTTTGTGATGCCCTTTGAGAACCGCGATATTGCGAAACTGCATCTTGGTATTGCCTGCTGCATGCATCAAGGTGCATCCTTCAGCGTTCTGTGGTTTCCCGCACCCATGCATGCTTCCCTTCGCGGCAGTTTGGCCATGATCCCTCCTTTGGACTTTTGATGTATGCAATGGCAACTCGAACAAGAGCCTTTCAGGATACAATCGTCCCCAGCATGGCTTCAAGACACAAAGACAGATACGCGAGAGTGTCGTCATGGCCCCCTGGCTCATGGATTAAAGAGCAAGTCATCTTGCTTTCCTAAACATCTTCAAATTTAACCCGCAACACCACTCTCCTGACTTACTTTGACTGCTACTAGTCCGTCAATCATCGGCCTTCTCCCCTTATCTAGACGTTTACCTTCCCATTGCTGTCATTGAGCCACTCAGATTCTCAACACAATCGCTCAAGCTCACCTGAGTTGAAGGATCCGCCATTCAGATTTCTCGAGTGTCCTTAGTCGACCCATCACGGAGATCACAACCTCAACCTCGAACGATTTCTCACAGCCCGAAGCCCGCACACAAACACTCCGTGGGTTGTGCTCATCGCCATGTGTGGTACCAACTCAGCCACTGAAGTTTGTGGCAGACCGGTTGCCGACTACCTAGCAGCGTCCAAGGCCGGCACCAGACCCCAGGTCGTCTTCTGTGACGAGATCCGTGGCACTATTCTCAACGCCCTCCTGGACCGAGCTGATAAGGCGCCCAAGCTCGTCTACAAGCCTAGCGAGAGACCTGGATTTGATAAGGAAATCACCAAGCAGCCTGAACATTACTGGCCGCTCCTGGCCCGATGCCATCTCAACCACGGAGTGTCCCGGGGCGACGCCTACAACTCCATCATTCAGCCGGCGTTCCGCAACCATGTCAAATGGATTCTTCGCCAGGCCATTGACCACCGGGCCTTCACTGCCACCCCCTGCGGATGGGTTCGTACCAACGGAACGCCTTTCAAGTCGGATGCCGAAGCTGGTGAGTGGCTGCACAAGCAGCAGAAGGCTGTCCAGGACGACCCCAACTGGAAGGCCCAACTGGCTCGCCCCAAGCCAGCTGGAAGCCTTGCAAATTCTCGCTGGGCGTCCCACCAGACGCCCTCGAGCGGTGAGGATGTGTCGATGCCCTCTCTGGAGAAGCTGAGCCTCGACGATCGTGTTGACACCCCCTCTGTGGTTGTACGTGGAACCAACCCCATCCTGCGGTATGAGCGCAATCAACCCCTTCTTGTAGTTGCTGACTAACTGTGTGCAGAAAGCCCTTGTTCAGCGCAGACAGAAGAAGCGCGTCCGATTCGCGAAACCTGAAGTCTCTCAGCAACACCCTCGAAACACCAAAGCCGCCGACGTGGCAAACCATCTACGAGTGGACCAGCGATGTCTCGGCCGAATCCGTTCTACCAAGCAGCAAGAAGAAAGAATTACGAGACACTCTCGAAAATCTCGGGCGAGAAAGACAGGCCCGACTCAGACAGATCAAGCAGCTCTCGGAGCAGGAGGCCAAGGTATGGAAGGCCCTCTAGTCGCTGCCGAGTAACCAAAGGGGTGAAGGATTGTGTGATTTGATGATCGTATTGTCAGGTTTCCCTGTATTGGAGTTTGTGCTAGACAGCCTAGAGTGGTTTTGGGGGTGGCTTTCTGCGTGTTGAAGGAGGCTGACTGCAGTATTGGACAAAGAGGAGGAACGGGACACGCAATGTTTTGATAGATTTAGACACGACTATAGACTTGATATCAGTGCTAGTCATATCTCGGGCATACATACTCCTTGTGTCAGTCATAATCCGGCTAGAGGCAACGCAAAGCAACTAGATAACATCTAAAGTGAAGCCCACGAAGGGGACACAAACACTCTGATAACGAACCTCGAACCACTTGTCGTAGAGTGAGCATTACAAAGAGGGCTTTATCACAGAAGTGAAATGTTACTAGATGATCAGGAGTCATCACCACCGACCGCCAAAACACTGGTCTTTCCTCGATTACAGCTATAATCCTGTTAGACTCGTCGTCCTCTGTTGACTGCGTACGATAATGGTTTCGTGTCAGTCAACTTCTTCTCGCTCCCGCTTTCACGCCAAGGGTGCTGCAAGGTATTCATTATCTCAGTGGTCATTTTCACGACGATGGCCACGAATCATTACTCGATGCACATAGCGAGTGATTGGTGTGCGATTGGGAACACACTCTCCCACCACCAGCTTCTGATTATTTCTACTGCCTCTCTGGAACCACCAGGATCCAATGTAGTCTATTCAGAGACATGTTTTGGCATTCATGTACACGTACTAAATGCCAAGAGCTAGACGTAATGATGACTACTGGCAGTGACCAGCTACTGGCTATCACGGGACAGACAGGTCCCGTATTGACCCAGCGACAGGTTTAAAGACCTAGACGTCGAGGCACAATCAGCATCATCCAATTTGAGCATATCCAGAAGATGTTCCTTCCACTGATCGTCGAACCGCGGGACCTCGACCGCTCAAAACTCAACAACCAACAGACACCCTCGCCATATTAGGCTAGAGTCAGGGACAGGTCAATCGTGTAGTCTTATCTACATATGTGTCGCTGTCGCACAGTAAGATCCTTTCAACTGTAGTATTAATCACGGCAAACGAGCCAAGATATATTAAAGGTCGAGAAGCTGCTCAAGTTCCATATATCACATACTAAGAGGGTTATCCCGTCTCTCATGCTTCCACCCAGGTGAAATCATTCAAACGGATGTGTAGTTAACACTGCAATAACCATACTTTTATTGTTCTCAATGCCACCTCTAAAAGCGGCCATCAACCACGACAGCGAGCGCAGTGACGAACACATGGCGGTATCTAAGCTAGCCGCGAGAAACTCTTGGATGCTAATGCATGTCATTCAAGTATACCTACAAAGCCATTTCAGCGCAATCTAGCCATGGATTAAGCGAGATGACGGCCCCAAGAACCTTGCATTGACAGTGCTGCCAAGGCTCATCGAATGGAAAGAAGCTGACCACGGCCGAGATATGTAGTCATAGATAAATGTCCGGTTATCTTTCGATTCTCCTCGATCTTCGGGCTTAGTTAACATATCGAGGGCCGGGCTGCAACTATAATAAAGAACAGATCTTCAACACATCATAACATCATGACCCGATATTAACACAGTGGCCTTTTTGAACTTCTGCAACAGCAGAAGAGTCATACCTAGCTACATCATCATAAAAGGTCTAGCCTCTCATGGGTTTGATTCTCCTCTTTGATGGAGCCGGCTGATAATCACGAGGAGTACCATTTAGAGAGCCTCCATGCTATGAACTCAAGTTCTATCCAAAGCCGACACGTCTGCCCTAGGACTGATGGTGGGAATACCTCGCATTGATTAATGAAAGAGTTGATTACAGGCAAGCCATCCCTCCGACTGCAACTTGGCCATCGATAGAATATTGAGCTGCTGGATGGAGTTGGTGGTTTAGTTGAGGCGTTGTCCAAGCTGTAACTGGAGCTCCTCCAACTTCAATAAATGGAGCTCATGGTGACAAGAGTTACTTCACTCGCCCCATGGTGGCGTATAAATCTATGACAGCTAATGAAAACTCATTTATAACGAGCGCATAGCTCAGCCTGACAGGGATGAGGATGGAAGGGTACCACGGAGATGACATCCCACACCAATTTCTTCGACTTGGAGCTCTAGCCTCAGATTGTCGGAGGACGTTAAGCGTCAACACTATGGTCAACAGGCTTTCCTCGGTGATGTAGCTAGACTTATCACCGAGCAATGGCTATCCCCAGAGATTAATCGAGATAAATTAGAAAGCATGATGCACAATAGGATAGGCTCGCAGCGTTGAAATAGAACTGACGTGAAGAGCAATATGGAAGGGGGAACGGGTTTATGCGGCGATAGTAATAGTAACTGCCTAGAATAAGCCCTTATTGATGGCTATGTTTCTTTATATCGGGTCTATTGCCTCTTCAAGGGACGTCGCAGTAATCAACTACAATACTAAACCCATACACCACGCCAGTCCATCCTAGAGTAAAGAACATCGAATATGCAAATTGACAAATATGCCCGGCCTAAACAAAAAGGTACGACTACTCTAGAACAATGATATCTATGCATTTCTTCCGTCACTCCTGCTTGCTCAAGCTATCATAATCTTGGCTGCCAGAATGGCTATCGTAAAACCTCTTGCCCATGCGGACTAGCCGCTCAAAAGCAAAACAAATGATAAACCAGTAGAAGCCAGAAGACAAAGCGCGAAGGCAGTCAGGGCATATCGTGCAGGCGTCCGAAAGGTAGGCAGGGAAACTACGTTGCCGATAAAGACAGTCTATTCTAGTGTGTAGAGTCATGGGAAGGCGTTGGGCAATCCATCGATTGAATCGACGTCTAACGATCGAGCATATCCCACATCAATTTTGAGAGACTCGAAGATGCTGTTCTCATTGTATTGTTGAGCATGTCAATATGTAATGTGCAAAGTCCAGACGCTATTCTTCCTTTCGTTTCCCTCGTTGTGGATTTAGAGCTATTGTGCGTGTTGATAAATCCCGTAATCTGCGTCCTGGACTTCGATGAGCGTCAAGCTCCGTAATCCGCGTCTTGGTTTAAGGGGGTATCAAATTCCGTGATCCGCGTCATCGATCAAGATTGAATTCTGTATTTAGCGTCTTAAACAAAGACAAGTTATTTGCTTTGCCAAACTTCGACGTGCGTAGTCCGCGTCTTGGGCTTTGCCAATTATTAAGCTTCGTAATTCGCGTCCTGCGCTTTATTGAACATCTAGCTCCGCAATCTCTATTCCCTGATCGCGTTCCAGTCCCACACGATGCTCCCCCGCCGACTCGCATCGCGGAGTGTACGCAATTAGGTAACATGAAACGCGATGTACGCCAAATAATAATACACAGGGAATGTCGCTCAGCATGTACGCAGAAGACGGAGAAGACGCAATTTACGCCCAATGCGGACAAGCACCACGATAGAGAGGCGCAAATATCCTACGCGATTTACACCAACAGCCTCCAAAAACTCAAGAAGCATGCTCGTAAAGTATCGGCCCCGTCGTCGGCAGAAAAGAACGCGTCGATAGGCAGAGATGACATGCAATTGGCCGTTGAAGCATTTTGTATCCATCACGCACTCGGTTGCACGCTCGATGCTCCCCGCAAGGCCACTCCAGCTGACGACTTGTCTCCTCATCACATGGTTGGGATGAGTTATTCCTTGATTTGTCATGGAAGCGTTTTGGTAGCACGCTTAGATACGAGGGGGAAGTTCCTTCAATGTAACGGGGATGAGCATTGTCATACAAAGTCTGCTCGTCTGGGCCATTACTTGCTGCTTGAGCTCCATGGTGATGTTTTTTTACTCGGGCGGCCGGGATGTCCTGCCTGATTGGGGCCTCGCATTGTCTGAGATGGACGCCGAAGCAATTGGGCCACCACTAGATAAAGGAAGCATGTTTGCAAATGCGTTGGTCGTCGCACAGATGGTATCAATATCCCATCCCTCGATCTGATCTGATCTGATCTGATCTGATCTGTTGTGAGGTTAGCTGTGGTGAGACAACACACTCATGGTCTGGATCTCACCTCGGAGCAAGAATCTAGCCATCATCTGCATCCTTCATCCAACCTAGCTTGGTTCCGTGGACAGTTCCTATCACTGCCGATGTTCATCACGTCGACGGTGGTGCTGGTCCCGTGTAGTGTAAAGATCGATGCCTGCGCCTTGTCTCAAGAACCTGTTTCTAACCCACGTCCCAATACCTGGGTCGCAAACCATGGCCAGTAAGTCTCGGAACACCACTTAGCCAGGCGCTGGATGGTGGTGACGACCTGATAGAGGCCGCGGGCAGATGCCGTCGACCCGACATAAACCTTGCTCCAGAGAATGGTCTCGTATCGACCGTCCGGGCGCCTATTTCGCGTCGTGGATACGAAAAACCAGTCATGGCCCTGGACGATCAATGCCGGGAGAAAGTCAAGGCCTGTGGCCGCTGCCGGTGTACCAACGAGCTTGTCAAGACACGCCCACTGTGCGGCGAGCCAGATGCTGGTCTGTTCGAGGGCGGCTTGCCAGTCCTCGCCCGTGCGCTTAGTCTCAATGCTTAGGCAGACAGGCCGTCTTAGGAGCGGCGCGTAATCGGTGTGGTTGATAGATCCGTGCAAGGTCTGGTGGCAGACTTGATTCAGTGTGTGGGACGCAGGATTTGAGTCTGGGAGGTCGATATAGAAGCAAAAGTCGATGCGCTTGTCGTGTTTGCGTCCGAATGTACGAGGAGCGAATGCTTTGATGATTTGCGCAGTGGTTCTGCAACATGTCAGCTTATATGAAACTCGGTGCTATCACATGGCACAGCCGCTTACGCGTTGAGGCACCCGATGTGTATCCTAGAAGCATCCTGGTGGTTGTCGCTGTTGACGCTTGACAAGCGAAGGGCCAACCGAATGAGTCGTGAATGAACAAAGCAGTTCCAGTTCGCCTCGGAATGTCTCATTTCTTCGCATTCCTCGGCTTCATCCAATATCTCGCAGACTGCTTCTTTAGAGAGAGAGGTGCCTAATTGGGCTCTCACGCCCGTGCGGTCGACGAATCGAGACGAGGCGAAAACGGATGAAAAGAGGGGATCATCAGGTGCATCCGAGCCAAGTAACGCCTATTTTTCGGCCGTGAGTCTACAGAAGAGCCATCCAATTAAACAGGGACTTACCAGATCATAGTCAGAAATAATACCCTGGCCAAAGGCGTCAGCCTCGATTGATGCGACCAACTCTTTCAACGATGCCGGGGCGCTGGCCGACTCCCTCCCATCAAAGGCCTTGTATTGTATGACATGCTCGACGTGCAAGTACGCAAGGGTGTGCGTGGTCTTTGTAGGACTCGACTTGTTGCTGCGCGTGCGCTTCGACGCCATCGATTCCGTTTCGTCATAATCAATATCGTACCCGGAGCTTGAGGCGGCCGAATTCGCGTCGCTGCTCCCTGACACTGACAACTGGGGATTGGCGCGCGGTGTTCGATTAGGATCGATTCGAGGCCGCTTGCCACTCGGCGTACTCGAAGTTGCATTGCTGCTCGACATGGAGGGGGAGGGAAGTGGACGTTTTCGTTGGAGCTGGTGTGTTTTGGCCGCGGTCAGGGACAATGAGGGAGGCTCTGAGCCCACATCGATGCTGGAAACCCAATCGAGAATTTGGTACTGCTGCATTGGCTCAGTAGAATGGATAGACACTGATTTCAAAACAGCAGACAACAAAGGGCAAATTTGGGTCCTAGTAATCAGGTCAAGCCGTGGCTAGAATCCTCCTCGTGATGGTATTATGAAGTTGGTGGTTGTCGGGGCAATGGTGAGGCAAGCGTTACGTCATGCAGATAAGACCACGTGATTAACCACACTGCCGGCTATGAGATAAGGTCTGGTGACTACGCCTGTGGCGGAGAACGTTAAAAGTGGCTTAACTTAGCCACCACAGCCACAGAGAGTGGCAAGGGTAGGTAGATACAGAGAAATAACCTAACTTTTAACAGGGTAAATGCACAAGTTTGTGCTATGCGCATAAGTATTAATTAAACCCGCGTTTCACTGTTTCCGTCTGTAAAGTCCCATGAGTTACAGTGACTTTGAACTTGCCAGCTTTTGATGTACTGAATTATCGAAGCTGAAGATTGCTTCCAGACTCCCAGGGGATCAGCCCGAACGATTTCGACGATCGACCGACCGACCGTCCGACAAACGATAGAAAAATTAGGCCTCCGCCTTGGCTTGGTCGACTCACCTCATCACCTCTGCAGAGCCGATCGAGCGAATAAACCTGCATTGTGGCAGGCATCGTAAGACGTGGCGGCCCTTCGCTTTCAAGCTTCGCCCAGCCCGTGTTTTTGACGTCCGTAGACCTCTCTCCCCTGCCATTTTGTTTCTTGTCTAGTCCCAATTATCCCTCCTCCATTGTTACGTTTCACATCGAGCCGTGACTTCTGGAAGGGAATATCTTGTTGGTCCTTGTATAGGGTATCTGTTGCGGTTTTGGCAGTGCTACATGCACGAACTGCTCTTCTTCTGGTGCACGCGATACTCAGCTGAGAATACTCATCAAGGTTGTGTAGAATTATCTATCCCGTTAACCTTGACTCGGCCCGGGGAGACGGGTAGACGGGGCCGGATTTCCGATTCGACATACAGACAGTTTCCTGGGTATTTCGGCGTACTTGACCTGACCCTTGGCGTTGAACTTGGATCTCCTTTGCGGGTAAACCCTAATTAAACTTCATCTAGCCAGCCCAATTAATTGGCTTGGTAAATATTCAAAGGCATCCTTTACTTTTCCCGTCGGCATACAGTAGTACACTCATTATTTGATCGGCAACTGAGCGACGAGAAAATCCTGGAAAACGAGCAGGTCGGACCTGATTATTTTCTGGGGGTGAATGATTATCCCATGTAGGGCGTCTTTTCTTTCTGGCTGACATGACTTCATTTCAATTGTATCTCAATTGAAAAACACGCTTCTGTAGACTTTGTAGCGTGGCCTGCCCAGCGGGATGATAATCCAATGAAGGGGGTGGCATTGGCGGATCTACGCCGGGGATACGACGAGATCGGCCTCCAGCTCTCTCCCGAATCGGGAAGCATTCATCGTTTGTTGGCGCGACACATGCCAACGGAGAATTAGGCGAGTATCAATACCCTTTTCAGTGATGGCTTCGGCCTTTGGTGTACAGTAAAAGGAACAGAACACAACGATAAATGACTAACGAGATCTGGTATTGGGACCGGGGTTTTGGTTGGGCAAGTCATGTTGTGGCTGGATCGCGTCTAGACACAATGGATCACGGTGTTAGTTTTTGCGGAGAGTGTGTGGGCGCAACAAGGAACCAAGACATGATGACATGATGAGGAACAATGAATGTATGAATGAATAAATGAATAAATAAATAGAAAATTACGTACTTGAAGAAAAAAAACATGGTTATACCCCTCGCCCTGAAGGAGTCCCCTGTAAGCGCCCAGGAATATCACGTCAGGGGGTCATTTGCTGGCCACCCCAGATCCTGTTGTCAGCGGCCATATCGATGAGGCGATGCATGATTGCCTGACGCGCTTCCAGATCTTGGGCCGTCATGGGCTGCTGAAGCATGCCGAGAGTGCTGTTGGCATTCATCAAGTACTTTGTCTCGGGGAGCGGCTCCGAGTCATGGCTGCTGGTCTCATCTGTCTCGTCTTCGTCTCCCCTCTCGTCCTCGTCCTCGATTGTCGATGGTTGCCGAAAGATAGGCCCGTGACTCTGCCAAAACCCATCCCAGGCACTATGCTGAGGTGGAACGAAATGGGTTTCTTTTGCAGACTCAGAACCCAGTCTGGCAGGCCATTCCCCGTGAGTGCTTGGACCTGGCACATTGTCGGAAGTGGCGAACCGGTCCATCGCAAAGGAGCCGGGCTTGAACTGGAATGGCAGTGTTGTAGGTACCGTCGGGGATGGGGGTCCGGGGGACGACACAATGCTAATTTGATCCAGACTCGCATCCCCGGACCGACCGAACTCGTCATCGTCTCGCTGAACGTCGTCGCTGCTTTTCCCCAACAATGATATGGCAGGTGGAGGGACTGGGAGTGAATGCGATGCCGGTTCCACCTCCTTGCCTTTGCCTTGGGCGTTCTGTACATCAGCTTCTCGTGCCGACCGGAGAGGGCCCATGGGGGGTACACCGAACGGAAACAAACCGACTGTCGAAGGACGAGGAGTTGCGCGCGGAGTGACGTACTCGTCCAGACTCCCAGCGTTGCTCTCGCCTGGGTCTGAACCAGTGTGGGACTCCCACTCCGAGTCAGCGTCGGGCACAGAAAAAGTATTTGTGGCCCCTTTGACTGAGCTCACCAGGACATTGGGAGAGGGGGCAGGATTCGGCACGTTCCCCCAGAAGCTGTGAAAGACGTTGGTGGAGTCCGGGTGGACTTGGGCTGCCGCCATTCTCTCGTGTCGTTGCTCCTCACCTCTTGGGGCCGCTGGCATGACTGATGGGGATGCCAGCAGAGCCTCGAGACGCTTTCGGTCAGCCTCCAGGTCCGGGCTCTTGTTGTTGTTGTTGTTGTCTGCAAAGATCGACCCTTTCAGACTGCTGGGAATTCTACGACGACTACTAGGAGCCGTGTACTCGGGAAATGGTCTCATCTCTCGTTGAGGATGGGCAGGAGGGGGAGATGGTGGAGGGGGTGAAGTGTTCTGCTGACCCTCTGGGTTCTGGGTGTCATCTGAGGGCTGATGCTGATCCTGCTGTCGCTGCAGGAACTGCTGGATGAGATGTCGCCGTTTCTCTTGTTCCATCTCCTGTGTCTTCTCCTCCAACTCCTGTTCCCAGGCATCTTCCCGCATCTGTCTCATCATCTCGGCCTCCGCTTCCGCCTTGGCCAGTTCTGCCTCCTCGAGTTTGGCTGTCGCACGCTGGGCCTCGAGGTCTTGCTGGTGCTGCTTGATCGCCTCCTCTCTCGCCCGCAGCTCCGCCTCCCGCCGCTCTTGTTCTTGCTTCATCTTTAGCTGTATTTGATCTCGCTCGCGACTGGCCAGCTGCTCGATCGAAGCCAGTTGCTCTGCTGCCTGGCGTCTTTCGTCCTCTTTCTTGCTGGCTAGCTCAAGTTCAGTTCGATCGTTATCAAGCCTTGTCCTTTCGGTTTGGACACGCTCAGACAGTGCAGAGAGGTGTGCTTCGGTAGTCTGGATCTTAGTCTCACGGTCTCGGAGGGCAGCGTCACGTCGTGTCATATCGGTCACCAGGGCTTGGAGTTCTTGGAAACGTCAGCTTGTCCAGAGGCGACTTTGCAGTGATGACATCCTTACCTGGGGGCATGGGCTTGGGGCTGATGTGAAGGAGGCCGGGGAAACTGGACATTGTGCAAATTCTGCCGCTGGTGACTCTGGTCCTGGATCAGCTGCTGGAGTCGGGTGATCTCGTCCTGCATGCTGCGACGAAGAGCTTCCTTCATCTCGCCAGCATCAAAATCGGCTCTCGCCTTTCCGTCCCGCACCTGTTGAGTAGGTCAGTCATGGACTGGGTACCAAACGTCACAGCATCCATACCTCGTTCGACAGAACCGTCTTGGCCAATGAAGTGGTAATACCACCCATTTCAATGTCTCCCTCTGAGTCCAGAAAGTCATCGTCGTCGTCGTCGTCGTCGTCGTCGATGACGATGGGCTCAGTCGTTCCGGCGATCGGTTGTGTCGGGGTCTTTGGATTGGCTGCCGTCGTCTCCTCGCGGTTGTGTCCTGATGGGGCGACCTCTTCCTCAGGAGTAGACTCCCTCAGAATTCTCTCGAGAGCACTCGATAGTGTGGAGGTTTCGCCCAAGATCTCACTGACCAGGGCCTCGGGCCACCTGAGCCGCTTCTTGCGAGTTGACGGATCCCAGCATTCGGATACCTTGCCCTCATTCTTGAGGGTCTGGAGAGTATACTCCATGCTGCTGAGCATCTTGCGCTTGAGGACGATACGATGTTTCTTGTGAAGCTTGGCCGGCTCAATCCCGATGGAAACGGCCAGGTTGCTCAACGACTTTTCGTCCTCGCGGAGGGTATCCTTGCTGTGTCGTCCGTTGGCGAGCCACTTGAGCATGGCAACTCGGTCTTGGGCTGTCCATGCCATTCGCTTCGAGCTGTTGGTGCGGAGTTCTTCGAGGAACTTGCCGTTGAATTGGCGCTGGGCATCATCAGACTGGAGTAAGCAACCGAGGTCAGCGAGACATGAGCTTGAGGGGCAGACATCACAGACAAGGACTTACACCGGTGATGCGCCCCATGATGGCGGAAAGCAATGCCTAGATACCCTAGAGACAAGCTTGGATGAAACAAGCGGTGTGGCGTGGGGTGGGGTGGCCTGGCTTGGAATATGCGGCAAACATAACTGTCACCCGCTCGCCGTTGAAATGTCTCGCCAAGGGTTGTGAAGCCTTGGGCAAGGGACGATGGCGGCCGAGTTGAGAGCTTGGTTGATGTTGGCCGAGATGGTGATATTTGGGAGGGGCAAACCGTCAACGGAGTGACCAGGATTCAACAAAGAGGCAAGGGAACAAAGAAGCTCCCCTCGGAGAATTGTCCCTTGCAGAGATGTCTGCCCTTGTGCCACGTCGGAGAGTTTAATCCCCGTCATCGACGTCACGGCCTGGACCCTGCGATATTGTGCAACCCTCTATCTACACTGACACCTCAGGCACCGTAAAGGCGGTCAGATCACCATGAGGTGCCACAGAGTTAATGTCATCATGATGTTGAGAATGCGTCCTTTGTTGCTGGGCTGAGGCTCTTGTGTATGTGAGAAGTTGCGTGGAATGGTCACAAAATAATGCAAGTCTCGATAATGTACGTGCTTTGCCTGAGATAATGATTGAAAGTGACATGTACAAGATCTGCTAAACGTTCTTCATGTCAATCCTGCCCATCATGAGATAGAGATTTCGTGCTTAGGTCTAACGTTCCACGCACAACTTTGAGTCACGATATTTGCTTGAGTCATGATGGTCGCTTGAGTGACAATGGCCGAACAGGGTAATGGCAAAATATTGAAGATTCAGTATCCAACAAGAAGAGTCTATCAAACACCCAGCCCCCTCTCCATCATCACTTGTCGAGATCAACAAAATGCAACTTCTTGATTGGTCCAGTCATCTTGCCAACCCACAGCTGCAACTCCAGCTCCATCATCTTGATATCGGCAAGACTCACAGTCTTGAGCTTCGCCAGGTTCAGCATGGTCTGGCCAAGATCGTGGACCGTTTGCTTATCGTCCATCGCCTTGTCCAAAAGTTGTTCAATCCTCCAGACTCTCTGATAGGCCTGAAGCAACAAATCGCAGAGCAAGTTTCCACGCGACACGACTGCGTTGATACCCTCTCTCAGATTCTTGTCAGCCGTACGAGAAAGCTTTCCTCCGCTCACCTCGATCGAGTTACGTAGGGTACAAGAACCCCTGCTGAGGTCATCGATACGACCCCGGATGCCTGTGAGGGACAGGCGGGCAAAGAACCCTTGGGCTTTCTGTATATTCACTGAGAGCATCCTGATGCGCTCGTGGTTCGTGAGTAGAACCTGGATGGGCGAATAATGGGAGGACCATGGCATTGAGTCCAGGAACTTGTCCCAGGTAGATGCTCTGGTTTTTTGTATCCAGCGTTTGGCGGCAGGGTTGGCACCGAGGTCTTGGCCGAGCTTGGTTACGTCTCTATCAAGAGGACCAAATGCGTTCCGAAGCTTCTTCTCGAGGGTCAAGATGTCCTCCATGACAATGGCCCAGCCATCCCGCATGCCACCGATAGCGTTGACGCTGACGTCGAAGCCCTGAAAGAAGAGCTGGTGTTCGGCCGTCTTCTCGCCCGCCTCCCGACAATCTTGTAGCTGCTTCACCCAGTGATCGAGATCATCAAATGCCTTGATGATCCCCTCTGGAGAGTCGATGATGGGTGTAGGCTCATCAGTCATGGTTGGCTTGATGATTGTGATGGTGGGAGAGGTGCCGGCTTGGGTTGTCGGTCTGGAGGCGAGAAAGCTAAGGGTGAAGAAGGAGGTGACCGCAGAAGTAAGGCTTTGAATACTGGAGACGGTGTTGCTCCAGAAGGTTGCAAGTCCGTAGATGGCTGCAATGACGAAGAAGAGACAAATGAGGATCAAGGCCAGGGGGCATGCGCAAAAGGGGGAGAATCCAAGGGCACGCCATCTGCCTCCTCCACCTCCTCCACCGCCTCCTCCACTGTCGTGGGAACCTGAAGACACGCCATCAAAGTAGTTATTACTCGTATAGGTGACATTGTATGTGTTGCTGTTGTTGTATTGCGAGTTGTTCTGAGTGAGGTTTCTTGGCTCAGGAGTTGGCGCAACATCAGGCTGTTGACTAATCGGCGTGATTTCTTCGACCGGACGTTGAATAAGTTGCTCCTGGGTTTCGCAATCTGATTTGGGAAGCGGAGTGTCGGCGACAGTGTTGGCGTCAGCGATATCAAGGCTGAACTCGGTTCGGGGGATGTCGGGAGCCGCGGTCTCGGCATCGGTCTCGAGGTGGGTGATCCGGACGGGCTCAATACCGGTGGCCTCGGCAAAGGCCGCCTCAATACTTGCCTCTGGTTCAGCTTGCTCACCGGACTGTGTGGCAGCGGTGTGCAAGCTGGCTTCCGCAGTGGCCGTCTCACCACTGATGACGGATGCGTTGGAACGGTGACTCTTTGCCTTGGGTGGTTATGGTTAGCCAGAATTAACAATACAGAAATCCGGAGACGAACCTTGTGTCGATTTCGGACTCGAGATTGCGCCTACAGAAACGCAGCCGGCGGCGGAATGTCGTCTTGGGGTGGACCACCACTCATCTTCAATTTGGGCTTGACGACTCGCAGCTTTAGGGAGATAACATCCAGATGTTTGATGAGGGAGCACGGAGAAAACATTCAAAAATCAAGAGCTTGCCATGAGTGTGTGTGAGGATATCCTTGTCGTGTAACAGGAGCCACGGCCACCTGGACAAACAAGCAGCGGAGGTCTTTTTGTTTGTGTTGATAGTGACAACTCAGAGACTGCAATGCAAGTATCCGCCCTCAGCAAGAAGCGTCAGGCCGCAATCGCAACGTACGTTGAGGATTTCTTCCCTTTGTTTCTTTCACTTGTCACTCCCCATCGCCATTTCTGCTTCTTTTTCACCGTCACTTTGTCTGACTCTGAAACCCGAATCTTTTGGTACGTTTTCTCTCCCCAGGATATCTCATCCTTATCTGGTCGCCCTCCAGATCCTCTGCCCACTATGGTCAATCCCCAGGTGGTCATCACTCTGGTTGCCGGTGGAGCTGCCGCCGTAGTTGCTATGGCCGGTGGCTTCCTCGCATGGCTTCGGACTCCGGGACTTGACCAAACCCAACCAAAGTCCCTTCTATCACCCGCGAGCATCATCTGCCACAGCCATGAGATGCTGGCCCAGCTTCAGCCGTCGGCCCCCGACAAGCCGGCCACACTCTTTTCGATCCTCCGCCTCGATCCTTCCAAGTCTCCGTTCGATCCGGCCGACGATTGTGCATATCCATACAGTCCCAACTACAAAGCGGCCAAGCGGGCCGTTACGGACGCTTGGGCTAAGACGAGCGACAGCCACGATGGAGACATGCGGGAGTGGAGAGACGTCTTCTCGATGGCTGCATTTACGCTGTTGAATGATACTTCTCGTATAATTTACATGAAGAACGTTCTGCCTAACCTCATCAAGGCAAAGGGGAAGGGAGGCTCGGACAAGGTTCTGCAGGAGTTTTGTGACAAGATGTAGGATTGGAACGAGATATTGAAGGGCTTGGAGCTGGTGGAAGAGGTTTCTTTTGACCCAAGGCAATTTTTAGATGGACAAAGACGTGAAAAATTATCATATGACGTGGTTGAAAGGTCGTGTCGCACAAGATTAGGCGGGTGTGGGTGCTGATCCGGCGTCCACCGAGAATATTGCCACCCCAACCACAAAACAACTACTGGTGAGAAGCAATGAATGGACCAACTTGAACATTCCCGCCCATGATTGAATTCACTACAGAGATCAAGCTTCTTTCTTGCCACTGTTCTATTCTCGACCCCTCCCTTTCTCTCTTCTCGAGCCACGGCCCCCATCTGCCCCTCACTTGGTTCTTTGTTCGCCTCATCGCCACACCGCACGGCTCACACATTTTCGCGTCGAGGGGGCATGAGTTTGGCCCAGACTCGCTGTTTTTGAACCTGCGAGCGAGCATGCAAGGGATAAGCTCCGAACTGCGTATATGATGGCTCCCCCGCCTGCCATTGTTGGTATCTTGTCTTGTCTCGTTCAATCTCGTCTCGCCTGGTGCGTTTGGCTCGAAACTGAACCGGTTCACTCAAGTCCTAACTTGCCGCTCTAGCTTCTTGGCAGGATTCGCTTCTGGCTTTGCACTGTGCCTTGGCTCCATCACTGTCGTCGAGAGGCGGAAACATCATCAGGTCTTTATTGCCGAGATTCCATCGCTCGACACAGTCTCCATGGCGCCTACCTTGCGACCTCGACCTCGTCCATCTCACGACAATGGAGATGATGAAACTGCCCCCAGCAAAGAAGATTCCCCTCCTCCTTCGCCTCCTCCCCGTTCTATAGATGCTGAACCACACCCCACCCGAGGCTTCAGAGTTGTGCGCTGCACCATTGGTCTGGTCAACCCCCACACCATGGCCCTGGATACGCAGAACATAGAACTCTGCTTCCACGACGACTTTGTAGCATCAGAGGATCGGCCCTTATCCCTTCACCTGGACCATCGTCACCTCAGTATATATGACATACCCCCTCTGCTGACGGCACCCCCACCGCCTGGAGCCATCTTCGACCTTGGGAGGGTAGATGTCATTCCCGATAACCCCGAGTTAGTGATACTATTAGAGAGACAGATACGGAGAGAGCTTGCCGAGGAGATGCAGCGCCGGGCCCCAGAGACGCAATCTATTCGGCAACGCGCCATGCACCTGACTCATATCGGAGGCAACTTTATCGAGGCAAACCGGGGTCATATTGTCACAATTCTACGCCTACTGCTGGGAGTCTTGGTGCTCACCTTGATTCAATATGCCTACCTTTCCGAAACATCAGAGCCCACCACTTCACCCGTGCCACTGGTTCCTCTAGTCAACTACATCACCTCGGCCGTCCTCGACACCACGCAACTCACTCCCATCATTTTCTTCAGTCCCTTCTTCTCCCCCACCATCACCAACGGCAGCATTAACAGCACAGACAATCCGGAAGAAGTCATTAGTAAGTCGTACATACTGGACCAGACTTGGCACATGACCGAACATCTCTGCTGGGACTTCCTACATAAGAGGTTTTCGGCCGAAGAGTTCAGAAGGTATACAGCCTCAGACCAGTCATTCACTGCGAGGCACCGCCTTCTTAAACCGGGGCTTTGGGAGTATGCCGGGATTCGCTGGCGAAATGTTTCAGAAACATGGGCAAGGGGCAATAAACTTTACACCAAGGCAAGGTGGGAGTGGCCTAGCCTTGCCGTCGATGTGTTTGTAGCGTGGACGCGTGACATGGAGTTTTTCATCAGGCCTGCCGCCGCATATTTGGAATATGTCGACGTCACCTCAGCCTCCAGCATGTTCATCGCCCCAGAGACGGGCTCGCCGAACGCTACTACTTATCCTAGGAACTTGATCGCCCGGGCTGCTCTACCAAAGGAAATACCCCCAGAAGTAAGGGATATCCTGGACGCCTACCGTGACTACATGGCCCGACGAAACTTTTTGAGTTTGTCCTGCGAGTTCCTCCAAGATTGCGCAGCTCCTCTGCCCGACTCGGCATCAAGCCATCAAGTCGTCCACCCCAGCTGCCAACTCTGCCGGGCTAGTGACTGCTCCTCGGAGGCCATGATCAAGAACCTCGAGGAGTGGTCTGCGACTGCGCGCGCCAGAAACCTGCCATGGAGTGACTTGGCAGGGTTTCATCGGCCGAGGGCAGAGACCCGTATGGCCGAGTACTTTTGGCCCAACAAGACCGAGGTTCCTCTTCTGTTTAACCAGGCCATGATGCTTGCACAGCTCAAGGATGTCATGAGCCAGGTGGTAGAGACTGTCGAGGTCGTCAAGCACGCCGACCAGAAGATCCAGGACAAGGGCATCTTTGCTCGTATCAAGGACCGGGTCCAGGGCGAACCAGTCTTGCCGGATCCTGAAGGCGACATGAAACAGTTGAAGGAGATGCTGCAGGTTCGCTTCTGGCATCAACTCCGCGATGCTGTTCAGGGTGTCCAAGCAGTCAGCGGCATTTGCGACGAGCTGTCAACCCTCTCATCCCTCGTCAATAAGCTATACTCTCCAGCCAACTGGATCATTGAGGAGGGCAAGTCGACCGTGATGCTCCAGAAGATGGCTCACCCCAAGGACCAGGCCAAGGCCCTGAAAAACCTCTTGTCCGAGATGGATCGACGATTGGGCGTGCTTGACGGGTACTATCAACTGTGGGCTCAGGCGGAGAAGAAGCAAGATGAAAAATATCTAGCAGAGTGGTGGAGCGGAGAATGAGGATTTCTTGTTGATGCTGTTGTCATTGTTCTATTGAGTTGCTTTGGCGTTAACCAAGTTGTCTTCCATTGCTCTGATGGATGATTAGGTGTAGACAAATTACAGGAATGTATCTAGAAAAGATTCAGCATCTCGCTGAGTTTTAGGGGTTTGGTTCTGTGAACTTCCTGCTGATACTGAATGCCTTGGCCTAGTTGTATTATAAACGGCTTCGGACAGCGATTTGATATGCTCTATGCAAGGGATGGATCGTTGGATCGCGAATTAGCAGAGCAGCCAGAACCTAGAAACTATCTACTGGCTAGCAATGATATTTCACTGGAAATAATATTCTTATACGTGATCCAAAGCGGCTATTGATTTATCTAGACAAAACTCGTCAAAATATGTCCATTGGTCATGAACAACAGCTCACACTTCCAGACCTCCCAACATGCTTGTGATATCTATGCAAGTCAAATCGTGGCTATCATTCAACGTGGAGAATCCCCCTGATGGGATTGTCTCTGCCCTGCGTGATACTCCTTATACCACTCGTACCACTCCACTGGGGGAAGAATGAGGTTACTGCCATACGAAGAAGACTAAGCCGAACTCACATCATGCTCGTATAGATTCGCCTCGGTGAGACCCATACCACCTGAACCAGTTGGATGCTGGCTATCTTGGGCTGATGGAGACGTGGGCATCTGCCGTGGTGTTTCCGTCTCTGCCTATTCTGCATTGGCGGATCTGAACACACTGAAAGTCTTCCCATCAAACAACCCACCAACAGCAGGCATGCTATCTCGGATAGAAGCCATCCCCCAGGCCCGGCTGCTGTTGATTTCGCCGGCTTAGAGATCTCCATCTGTTTCAAGATGAACCGCACTATTCTTTCTGCTAAAGATACCGAGATTAGAAGCAGAACTCATGTCCACAGAGTTCTCTGGAAGAATCGTAAGGGTCCGGGCAGGTAAGTTTATCATGCCCGTCTCCTTTGTGGTTCGGTGCCCAATATCGACAGAGTGGGGATTCAGCGTGGTCGATGGAGGAGCAACAGCGGCTATGGTGTTACCGGATGCTATGGGAGCTGCAGTATAAGTCGGAAAAGTAGACGGAGCAAGGCCGCTGTCTAGTCTAACGGCTGGTGGTGTCTTCTGGGTATCAGCTGATGTGATGCCCTCGGAGAGCACGGCCTGGGCGGGAAGTAGTAGTATAGGAGTGGCAAGCTGAGTCGCCAGACTGCCGTATTACACGGGAACTAGGGGTACCTTAAGGCCCGGCCCAACAGACGTGGCGGTGTCAGTGACGTTAATAGTCGAGGCGTGCTAGGTGACTCCTGCAGCATGACGGCCAATATTGCTAGGGGGAGTCGCAGTACTCTCAGGCGCAAACGGAATCGGAGCGTCCTTGTCATACACACCAACTAAAGCAGAACTCTTTGACGTGTCAGGTTGAATAATGAGGTCATTAGGCGTGCTGATCAGGGGTGTACTCAATGGTCGAGCCGACTGGTCAACGCTGCTGACGTTCGGAACTATGGACTGCTCAGCTGCAACAGACGGATGAATAGAACTGCCGGTCTGAACGGGAACTGAAGAGTCCCGAGGCTCAGCCGCAAGGGAAGAAGCAGTTGCCTTCTCGGAGGGGGGCACAGCTACGGACGTGTCGGTATTGGAAACTAGCGCACTGACCGCGGTGGTCTTGCCAGTGTCCTCAACACTGGTCTTGTCAGGCTTATTCGTGGCAACAGGCGGTTGGCTTGGCCCCTTAGGCGCAACAGCTTGAGGTTCGTTCGCTTGTGCCAAATCCCCTGTTGGGGTCTTCGAAGACGAGGTAACGGCCTAGACACGCGGGACGCCATCACCGTGCTTGTTGCTTCTGGACTCTTGGTTCATTGTGGCAGCGATCTTAAGTGCATTGGCCTTGCCTTTCAGTTCGGTCGTGAGTTCCGTGGTCAGCCGTTTGATCAGGTTGCCATTGACCCAGGATTTAAAGGTGCCTTTGCTGTTTGCCCAGGAGGCCGGCCAATCCTCCTCATTGCCTTGTTCAGCCGAGGATTCGGCGAGAGCTTTGAGACGATAGAAGCCCTGATCGACACTCTGAATCACCTGATATGAGGCATCGGCATTCTTGCGATGTTCGGAATGGAGGAATCTCAGGACTTGACGGGCACGCAGGCTCCGATCTATGTGGGATCCACGGGGATAGAGAGAAGTCGAGGGGGCTACCCTTTTAAGAGGTTCTGTTCAGCATCGAGGTTAGCTTATGACGGGCAAGTGAAAAAGGGGGCGAAGCTGACTTATTTCGCCGGCAGGAACCACGTCGAAGGGAGAAAAGTCTGTCGACTTGAGTGCTGGCGCCTTGGAAGAAGCACCAGATGCCTCTGGAACACCCGGCTTACTTGAGCGGGTTGTAGGCATGTTGTTGTCGGGATGCTTGGTGTTTTTGTATGTATCTTAGGGAGAAGTGATTTAGACGGTTTAGGATGAATACTTTTGGAATCGACACTTGTGTGAATACCTAATGTGTGAAGGGTGACCGAATGGCTGCCGGTCACTGGCGATGGTTTGTTCCAGGGCCGTTGAAATTCACGGTTACACAAGAGGAGGGGGTAACGTACATGATAAGCGAGTGGATCAAACAAGCGAGTGGATCAGCTGCACTGTACACCTAAAATAACACTTTTTGGATCTTCTAAAATGGACTGAATGATTTTTAAAAAACAGAAAAAGAGTATTTATACTATATTTAATATTCTAGAAACATATAGTAATTTTTTAAAGACTTTTTAAAAAATTTGTTTATATAGAATTAGCCATTTATACAGTGTGAATATGTTTTTACTTAACGAACTAGTCAAAAGATTTTTAAAAAATCTAAGAAAATTTGTGGTTTATATTTAGTGGCTAATAGATGCTATTTACAAATTTCATCTGTTTTGGTAGTGGTTAAAATTTCTAGGCACTTTTTTAAAGAAATTAGAATTTGGGTGTAAACGCTAAGAAATTGGATTTTGATCCACTCGCTTGTTTGATCCACTCGCTTATCATGTACGTTATCAAGTAAATTATTTAGCCACACTCACTGGCGCACAAGAAGCTGTATCGTGGGGGTGGATGGGCTAGGCCCCAACGGCAAGAGATATTAATCTGTCAACAGGAGAAGAAGGGGGAGATAGAGCTTGTTGCAACTAGAGTCACTTGAAGCAAGATTTAGGCTGATGTTGCGAGTTGAGATTGGAAAAGTCAAAGACGCGCGATATAAAGCAATAGCTGGCCACCATATATCAATTAACAAGCGAAAGATAATATCGTGACGGCTTTATTAAGATCCAGTCGTTCCAAAGATGCCTCCCAACACCACCCCTTCGCCATTTTTGTATCTTTCTCCTCGGTCGCCTTCAATATCCTTCGTCATGCGCGCCATGCTTCTCTGTCGCCTTCTTCTTCCTCTCCCGTCTCTTGGATGCAGTTGTCTTGGCCCTTTCCTTTGGGGACTCCTCCACTAGCCCACCCTTGGCCTCCTTTTCCAGACGATCCAGTTCGTGAATCTCGGCGATGCACTTGGCCATCTCCGTCTCGGCATCAACAGCCTTGTGCATCGAGTCGCGGAAAGATTCGGCTGCAGTCTTTTGTCTAGACATGGCTGAGGAACGACGCTGAGCTAGATCGCGAAGGAAAGCTGAGGAGGGGGTGAATTGTTGTTGCTGCTGCTGAGGGACTACTGGCGGTGTCGGTCTTGGCTGAACTGGGGTTGGAAAGGGCATCGAGGTTCCAGGCAGCGGTCCCGGGGGAGGCCCAGCGGGAGGTCCAACCGAGGGTCCAGCGGGGGAGAGGGAACTCTGGGCAGTAAAGGGACTCGCAGCAGGCGGCAGAGGATACGGCTGAGGCGGGAAGGACGGGGTTAGAGGAAGACTCTTGGGCGGGACCGAAGGCCCTGCATTGGGCTGTTGCTGTTGTGCCTGAACTAGGAGGGAGTCAGTATTGAAGGCATTCACTGACGGACTTGACCATGGCGTACTAGCATTCTTCCACATCTCTTCCGTCTTGTGATATGCCTCCCACATCCGGTTTGGAGACAAGCCAGATGGGGTGTCCGGTAGATGACTGATCTGGCTCAGGGCGACGCTAGAGTTCCCAGAAACGCTTCCGGCGGAGAAATGTGTCGCGATGGCGATGTCAGGGTACTTGGAGGTAAGCGCTGTGATGGCTTTCTTGTCCTCGTTGTAAATCAAGTCCCATCTTAGCGTGCACCACATGACTATGTAGACCCGCTCCTCCTCTTTGGTCAAGGGATATTTGGACGGCGGGATGTTCATGCCGGGAGAAGCCATGATGACGAGTCTGAGAGTGCGATTTTGTGTGTGGATGGCTGGTGATGGTGTTAAAGTTGAATTTTGGTGGTGATGCCATGTTGTGTATCTCGACGTGACATAGCATCACTCTAACACACTTCAGGCCTTGAAGTGAGAACATATCCATTGGCTGGTGTTAGTGGGGGCGAAGACTATTAATCGCTCCATGACTTGAATATGGAGGATAACCGGCTGAGAATTGGGGCATGTGTTGGGCGAGACTGTGCTTTTGTGGTTGAGAGGACAACTCAAACACGATTTCCAAGTCAGACTGTGGATAGAATGATGGTTGAAAGGGTGAGAAGGCCAGTTAGTCTATTATAGAAAATGTGAACATGTTGGCTTGGCTCTACTCGCTGTTCGTGGATTTGGTGAGGGGTATCGCCAGCCAAAAGTTAATCATCGATCATACAAGCTCCATATTAGAGGCCTGATACTTTGAGTGAAAGGCTAAAGACTCGATGGAGAGGTTAGGGAGATAAGAGGACAGGAAGAAGTCCGGTGCTGCCCTGTCTTTGGGGGCGCGTTCTTGAAGTGTTGACGTACTTCCTGTCATGTTGAGCTACGAGTTTCTTTTTTCACGGCAATTTGGTGCCTCTTTGGACAAATGAAAAGGAAAAATATGAAAAATAATAATAATAATAGTCGATGTTCTGACCCGGGCGTGGTAACATGTATCTGGTCTTGGTGGTGGTGATGTCCTGTCTGGCCACGCGTTAGAAGGAGGCCCCCGAGCGTGGCCACCAGCGACACCAAGGAAACTTGAGGCCATGATCTTACTTGAAACCAATTATCTAGTGACTGAGTGCTATACGTTGATTGGAATTAAAGAAGATTCAGCTATATGCCACGAGTACACCAAGGCACTCCAATTTGCTCACTTGCCCCCACCCCCTTTCCAGATTGTAGAGATTTCCCGGCTCTTCTAGACTCTCCCTGGCCAGAGAGGAGCAATGTAGAGGGTATAATACTTCTCTTTGGGTCTGTCTCCATCTGACCCAGTCAATGAGTTGGATACAGTGGCAAGACACAAATCAAAACCAACTAAAGGGCGAATAATGACCTGACCGCGTCCATGGACCACGGAAATCGAGTACTCATTTCCAAGTTATACTTGGCCTATATGGGCTTTCAGAAACAACAAGACTAGGCACAAGCCATGACCATGCCCTTCTATCCCTATCTCTGTTACAAGGTACGTTTCGCGGGATCCAGAGCTATCATTAAGGCGCTCATATCTGCAACCATGTGCACTAATAATAGTCATATCGCCCCTTTCTCACGACTGGAAACTTCTTAGCTATTAGGCGTGAGAAGGCCTGGCAATACTCCTTCCACGAAAGGCTCCCTCATCACCACCCTCTCGGCCTCGTCACAAGAGGGGAATCCCAACCGGTGGCCCTTTGTTCTGGTGTAACGTATCATTTTCCGCTCGGGCTCCAAAGGAGAGAACATTAGGCAGCGAGATCTGTAATGCATGTCGTCATTTATCATTGACCGCTCCCGCCTGGGTACATGGAGAGTGGATTCATGATGCAGCCGGGCAAGCTACCTACTATACGGTCTAGAGATACTTCCTGACCGCCTCTACGCCTCCAAAGCATACCATCCTAATCTTCTAGACTTAACACCCGACCAAGACCAAGAGAACTTGCTTACACTAAAGATAAATATCGTCAAGGCCCTAGCGAGAGCGATACCCCATTCCTTCGGTTCAAAATACTCGCGGGGTAGAAGAGGCAACAAGTATAGCTACACAGGATGCGCCCCAAGATTAAGGGGCCAGGGAGAGGAATGCATATTGGTGTATCATGACAGAAATGCCCTCTTCTCAAATAGCCCCTCCTCTTCGTTAAGTACCTGCATAATGTCGTGCGACGAGGCCGCATACGCTTGTCGTCACGAGAGAGGTGGTAGGCACCGTTCAGTCTCCTTGGGCACCAGGCAATCAAAGCGCCGAGGGGTCAAGGCAAATCTATGGTCCGCTTTCACGAACATATTCCCATATCGTTCTTCCCAAGAAACTAGAGGAACTAGTGCCAAGTACTGGTTAAACGACAAATAAACTCAACGACCATCATTCCACAGAGCGACAAGTAACGGGCCCATGTGAGATCACCCCAAAGATACGTACATTGCTCTTTTCCGCAGTCATTTGCCGATCATGCGGGCTATTATATGCATAACAGTCACTGTGAGGAGGCTATAGGAGTTGCTTAGCCAATCAGAGTTGCCAAATGTCTACAGGGTGCCAAGAGACGGCAGACAAAGAACAAAGAAATTGAGTATAGAATCAAGCATTGCATGCGGACAAAGCGGAGCCAATACCGATCCACTGCATGAGAGATCAACTGGCGGCATAGCCTTCCTACAGAGTCCTTTGTTCAGGAGCCTGCAGACTACAGAGCTTGCATGATGCAGGTTTCTTTGCTCAAGAGGCGGTCAATTGTCGTGAGAGGATCGTAATAATGGCGGTATCAAAAAGGAGAGCGCCCCCCCCAGGTTCCTCTCTGTTCCTTGTTCTTTCGCCCTTCTTCTTCGATCATGTCCTTTCAAACTTGACTCTCACTGCCATTGATCGGCTGATCGTCAAATCCCTGCGTAGGGAGTCCTGATTCTCGAGCAGCGTCTGGGTTTCGACTCCTCCTGCTCGTCGGAAACGGCATCCTATTTTCCCCGAGTCGCTCTTTGCAAACAATCATGGCTCATATCCACATCCACTCTCAAAGCTTCTCCTCAAACAGCCCTCGGACCCTTGGAGATATCCTTGACTTGATTGCGCTCGGGGCCTGTCGCCCACAAACAACATCAAACCACTGCGCTCTGACCTTCCCCCCTCCTGATTGACGTGCCCCTCATAAGCTGGAACTCAATCAGTTGCCCCTGTGTCTTGAAACAGGAGAGCCACCCAAGCCTTCTTGCTTTTTGATGAACGAGTCACCGTCGCTTTGCTCATGATTGGCGCCTCCTATCCTCCTTGCACACCAGGATCCTTTGCCGGCGTTCTTGCCACTTTGGCATTGCATTATTGCCTAGCTGTCTCTGGCAACTTCATGATCTGTCATCTGGTGTTGATTGACCTTGATCATTGGCTCAGCCATCAAGAACTGAACAACAACCCATGCTGCAAGTCGTTTGGGCAGTTGAACCTGGTCCTCCGAGCACCTTCACAGAACAGACGCCCCCATGCTCAACCCTGCTTTCGGTCATTTCGGAGCCAAGCCAGTCTCGTTGTATTGGCACACGGACCTTGTACCACCATACCACCGTGAACTCGCGGAGCCCGTCGGCGCACTTGAAAGCGCCCAAACATCCCGAGCACATGTGTTCATGATGCACCTGCAAAGCAAGCAGCCCACGAAACAACAAACAACAAAGAGGATTTCTCTTTCCTGGCGTCGTTGTGTTTTTGTAAGTCCCTCAACAGCAGATTGATCTGATCCTTTGCCTCGTGACTCCAACTCGACTTCTGTTCATCTCCAAGTCATTGCTTGCTATTGGTCCACCAATCATGATCCGGGCTGGCCACCCGAGCGTCGTGCATTGGAGGAACATGTAGTCACGAGGCGGAGATAGTGACGGAACATCGAACTGGAGAATATTGGCAATTGAGTCGGGTCTCTGCTGTCTTGGGGGTTGTCATTCATGTAACCGAAGGGATGGTGGAGGAGTGTTGGTATTTTCTTGTATACTCGTCATGTTCATCCTGTGGTCAATATTGGAGCTTGTCGAGGGGTCTGGCCCGCCATCTTGACAGCCCAATATTAGAGCTGCGGAATGGGACATGGCGAGTCGGTCTTGTCATGTACTTTTCTTTTCCATGTCTTGCTGTCTTGCTGTCCTTGTGGTCTTCTCTGAGCTAGTTGATCGGTATGGCGAACCGTTCAACCGGTCGTTGGAGTACTGCAAGTTGATAGCGTGACAATAAGACATGGAAAAGTTATACCACAATGGTGGCGTGGGAGTTGTGCCTGGAAGTTGGATAGGGGAAGTTATGCCAAATTTTTGGCAGGGGAAGTTGTGTCAACATTTTAGTAGGGGAACTTATGCCAAAATTCTGGCGGGCAACCAACTTCGTATGGAATTAGACAGAAGAAAAAAAAACTTGCCACTTTTATTCTCGTTCTGCAGACTCTCTTGTTTCCTGTGCCAGTCAACGAGTTGTAGTCTCTGCGATAACCGACCGATAACTGATATCTATCCCTATTATAACTAACTATACCCAGCATGGCACATAACCCTCGCCATTAAAGACCTCGAAAGAGGCAGTGCATGTTATCTATTGCCCGATCTTGGTTATATATTTTCCAGGCTGTAAACAATAAAGAATAGGCAACGCCTTGTTCACCAAGGCGCAGGCATACATTTAGGCGTCAGGTTCCCACAAGTGATATTGATAGTCTTTGATCCTTCCCGCTTCTACCTCTGCTTCAACCAACACCATCGCCTTGACTCCCATAGCCAAAATCACAGAATAATACCTATCCCAAGTGTATCTCTCTCCTGTCTTTCTCCCTCTTTGGTCTGGCCACCCTAGAAGACCATCGATCCCGTTCTTAGCGGTCTTGGCCCTAAAGCGAAGCAGTGGTGAACGATATGGGTGTCCTCAGTGCAGGCGTGAGTACTCCATTATTTGTTACATCTAGATGGTGCATTACTGACTACCCTTGAGGATGATGACTCTCAGCGAACCTTCAACGGCAAGTTCATCGAAGAGCTAAGGATGAAACCCTCTAAGCAAGTAAAGTGGACTGCTTCCGATCGCATCGAGATGCGAAAATGGCTCGCTATTCACCGATATCGCCGTGATACCATCAATCGGGATAATAACTCGATTATGGTCCTCATATGTCGAATCGGTCTGCACAAAGATCTACTAAGCAACGAGCACTTTGTCGAAATGGAGAGGCGGCTGAAATGGGCCCTGTAGTACACGATTGAACAGATTGCCCGCGAGTTCTAGCTCGAAGTGTATTGGGATGGAGAGGACTAGGTGAAGCGCCTCCAATGGCGAGATGAGGTTATGGATGAGATTATACACAAGACTATTTGAGGGGATAATTGCGGAAGAATGAATGACAATATTATTGCCATTTTAATATCATTTTGAGTTATTTGCTATTTAGAACACGCTCCCTCTTTTGCTGCTGATAATGTGAGGCCCAGTGAGGGTGAGGCTACCTACCTACCCGAGACTCGAGGCAGGTCATATGACTCTACACGTGCACGTCATTACCCCGCCAACCACCATCATAACATGCATCGTCTGTGCTATATACAGATCTTTAATATGGCAAATCGCGACACGTGCCATCATCGACAATACCCTTGAGAGAATGCACACAAACTCAATAGAATCCTGGCTCAATCAGGTCATCACCCCAGAACCAGTGCAGTAGAGGCTCTTGGCCCGAAAGCGAAAAGCCTCAGACGCGCTCATCGTCATGGGTGTCTCATCGCCACCACAGAGTATCGCGTCGGCTCACGACTATGACCCTGATGCCACCCCCCGTGCAGGGGAATCTTCCAAACGCCGTAAAGCCGAAGATGGACGTATGATCAATGTCAGAGTCTCTCTCGATCTGCGACAGGCGAATACCACACAAGACGACGAAACCACTAGCCTGCTAATATTAGTAACATCGAGCACGACGGGAGGCAGTATAACTGGAGGAAGCACCACTGGGGGCAAGTCGGGCAGGCCGAAACGCCGTATCAAGGACATAGGAGACCTAGAGCTTGCAGAGAAACCAATTCGCCAGGTGACAAATCTAAAGAGGGAGGTAGACTACCCAAAAGACGTTTGGGCTCTCCTCAAGAATGTTAGAAAAGTCCGACGAGGAATAGGGATTCTCCCAAAGCCAGTGGCAGATCAAGCTCGAAAACTGTTGTCCGTGGTGGACGACCTGCTCGAAGAGGACGACAATCTCTACGATGAGAACATCTGGGCGGTTCCGGGTCTCTCAGACAGTATCAGTTGGGATACTGATTTTGAGCTCAAGATGCTGGAGAAAGTGGTGGAACGGACAGAAATATGCGTCGCCGAGAACGTATCGGAACCTTCATGGAACTCTAGAGTCCACGAGGCACTCCTCGACGTGGCTCTGGAGCCTTTCAAGGGTATCGTGGGCCACTGGGACGTGACCAAGGCTGTGATAGACAAAGAGTATGTCCCGCAGCACGGGCCGGGTATTGACCTCCAATCCAAGATGGTCGACTTTTGCCTCACGCTGACTGACAACGACATCATTCACGCTGCCAAAGAGCGACTAAGGCCCAGCAACCGCAGAATGATCAACCACACTGAATACCAGGCACTGCGCTTCCGCCCCATCGCTATCAGCATCGAGACTAAGAGGCCTGATGGATCTAGCCAAGAGGCTCGGGCGCAGCTGTCGGTCTGGACCACGGCTTACATTGCTCGGCTGCGGGAGTTGGCGGCGACGTCGACGGGAGGACTCGACATCACGCTTCCCATTCTCACGGTGCGAGGCGGGCAGTGGGAGCTGTCCTTCATCATTGACAAGGCCGACGCTATTGAGATGGTGACATTGCCGCCGATTGGCGACACGAGATCGATTGTGGATTGTTACAAGGTGATAGCACTGATAAGATGGTTGGCTGTGTGGTCGGTGACAGTGTTTCGCAAATGGATGACGGATAAAGCCTTGGTCCTGAGAACGGTGACATAGTAGGTAGTAATATCTTGCTTTACCGCCTTTGCTCACGCGGATCCGAGAGTCAGAGCATTCACCGTGGGCTTAACATGATTTTTTTGCCCGACAAAGAACTCGTCATGTCGATATGTAGCTCTCGGTTAAGTCTAGTAGACTTGGAAATATAGAGAGATATAATTAATACTGATGCGTTGCTAGTCTTATAGGAAAGTATTATATAACGCCTTAATCCCTAATTAGTCGCGCATAGGCCGTCTGGTAGCTCGCTTAGTTATATAAATAACTAGCTTTATATTACTTCTCTTTATATATTAACTAAATTATCACGGCCATGATATAAGCTAGGCGGGGAAATATAGCAGAAATACTCTAACTAAGCAAGGGACCAAAGGGACTGAATATCGCTTGCCTCGGTCTAGGGACTAAATATTAGAAATATTAGTCTTACCTTAGACTAAACTTAGAGAATATCAGTCTAAAGATTAACTATAAGTATATAAAATATATTTATTATACTTTCTTATATAATAGCTACCTTAGCTATTAATATAACTTAGTTATATTTAATACCTTAAGTATATTATTAGATATAATATTATATTACCCTTTAAGGTTATATAATATTTTCCTCTATTAATATAAACTAATATAACTAGTTTATCCCTTAGGAAATACCCTCTTATTATATATTAATAGCTCTTATTTAGAGGATTATTTATATTACTTTAAATAATATTAAATATAATAGCTACTTAGGCTACTCCTAGTAATAACTATTAATAGGTTTTACCTATTAATTACTTATTTGCCCCTATTATATTAGTTTAGGCTAACCTTAATAGCGATAAGGAAATAAATAGCGATAACGAAGAAATTAAGTAATTCTATGCCTAAGTTATTATTATAACTACTAAAATAGAGGAACTTAGAGGACTTATTAATTATATAGCTGCTACTTAATAAGTTTAAAATTAATAATATTATAAGAATATCTAGAATATTAATAATATAGCGATTACTATTATAAAGGGTAAAGATATTAGAGAAATCTTAAAGCTAGAATAATTAGAGAAGTTTAATAATATTATATATAAGTTATTAATATTCCTTATATAGCTATGCGTATTTATGCTCTATTACTTTACCTAGTTTATTATAATATCTAGTAAGGTCTAATATACTATAGGGCGTCTTATTAAGTATACTATAGCCTAATTTAAACCTATTATAAAGGAGTACCTTATTAAATTACTTAATAAATACTCGCTATAGACTATAAACCTCTACTCTAGCTTTAAAGTCTTTAAAGCTATACTTTAATAAGCCTTTAGAATAATAAATAAAAAAGCCTAGGTAAAAAAAGAAATTAAGGCACTTTAATAAACTTACTCTACGTCGGAATATAATACTAAGTACCTCTAGCTCGCCTTAAAGCTTAACTAAGACTAAGAACCCCTAATATCCTTTTTCTTTAATAGACTTAAGAAAGAGGTATAGGCTAAACTCTATAAGGAAGATTAGCTTAATAACCTTATTGATTATATTAGCTAAGTAATTAAGATTAATAACTAATAATTCTCTTAGAAGAAACTCTAAAACCCCCGTAATAATAAAGAAAATTATTAGAAACCTCGATTTAATATTAACTAAGGGAGATCCTAATAAGCCGATATATCTTATAGAACCTATATAGGACCTATAAAACTTAGAATAACCTAATAAAAGAAATATAACTACTATAGACTTAAATACTAATATTACTATAAGATAAATTATATTAAGAAGGTCTATTATAAGAAGTAATATAATATTAAGGAGGGTTACTACTAGCTATAATAATAGCGGCTCCCTGAAGGTAGAAAATAAATAAGGTTCGCATAAGCTAATAATAAACTATAAATAGCTCTTTAGATAACTAAGATACTTGGCATAGCCTAGACTAAGTATAATAATACCGGTCTAGAACTAAGAGAAATTACTATGCCTTATGACTAAGTATACCTTACTAAGGAATAATTTAAGTATAATAATTGCCCCTAGCTAAAACTATAGTATATTATAATAAAACCCCTAAAGATAAGATAGCTCTATCTTATAGATAGGTTAAGATAGAAACTACTACTAGAATTAATTAATAAACCTAATAAAGACCTAAATACTAAAATAATTATAGTAATATAATGCCCTAATTAATATTATAATAACCCTAACTACGGCGCTAGAGCCAAAGCCTAATAGTAACTCGCTATAGCTCAGATCTATAATAAACGCTAGAAAGAAAGGGATAATAAGCTATAGAAGGAAGACTACCTATAACTCTATAACGAAGAAGGCAATTAATATTAGAACTCGCCGAAGGAATAATATATTTAGATAGCATAAGAATATATAAATACCGAAGAAATATAAGATATTTATATCCGTGCGTACCATAGGGTAATAGCTTAAAACCCTAGATATATTAAACCCCCCTTTAGTATATAGGACGATATATATATATACCCTATATATAAGGAATACCCTAGTATCTCATAGATATTATATTAATATTACTAGTGCGAGGAATATAAGGAAGAAAAATAGGAGAATAATTACTTCTTTATTCCCTTATTATATTAGCTAAATAATAAACTATACCTATAGTATAAAACGGAAGGATATTTAGTCCGCTATTAGCACGAATCGATCTATATTACTACCGCACGGTATAGTAAGGAAGTATACTACGTAATATAAAGATATAAGGAGACTAAATATAAGGTCGAAAAATAGTAAAAATAAATCCTCGGAATAACCTAGGAGGACTTAAGACCCCCTATGGTAATATAAATAGAAGAAGACGCCTTAGATATAGAGGATATCCCTATCTAAGTATACCACGAAGAAACCACTATAAACTCACAATAGAAACTACGATATAATATATAGGACGATAAGCATACCTAATTAATATACCCCTAATACGAGGAAATCTTATAGATCTCCTATAAGAACTACTACTATAGTATATATATCTAAAGTAAATAAGAAAATAATTATTTCCCTATATAATTATAGGGACCTAATAATAAACCTTACCTTACTTATAAAACCTACTAATATAGGACTAATAGGTAGAACAAAGGGATTAATATAGCTAATATCTATTTTGCCCTAAAGGCAGATAGATTTATTACCCTTAAATAATAATTTACTATTACTATATAGAAGACTATAATAAAAGGAAGGTAGGCTCCTAAGGGAAGCTACCTTAGCATAAAGGTAATACTTTATAATAAAAATATATGCCTAAGATATAAGAAATATATCTTAGCTATATATAATAGATTTAAATAAATAATAAAGGAAGGATTTAATTTCTTTATATATATAGGAAAATATAAAGACGAGGAATAGTATTAAAGTATCTAATTATACCTCGGAGAAGATTAAGGACCTATAGATTAGATCTTATAAGACTATGCCGACTATATTAGAAATAGCGACCTTAATAAGGTCTACCTTATAAAGGAAAGGAATTATAATAATTACCCCGATGACGGCTAGATCGCAGAATAAGCCTACTAGGAATAGCTATATAAATAAGACGACCACGACTATAAGACATATACTAATAGCGAGTATAAATATAACTACCTTAGCTATGCCCTTAATAAATTAAAAAACTAAATACCCCGTCTAATATAGGGTAATAGATAGATAAATAAGGGAATAGATTACCCTAGAAGGCCCTTTATTCTATAGATAAAGGATATAGGCGATAATACCTAGAATTAAAAATATAAATTAAGGGATAATAATTAAATACTTTAATAAATAATAGAGCTAAGTAGAACTACTTCGACCTAGCGGCAGCGAATAAGCTTAAGCTACTATAGAGGCATAAATATAAGCCTTATATAATATATAACCTCGAAGGAATACCTTTTGATTATAATAATAGAGTTATTAACTATAAGATTAATTACCTTAAGGTTTTTATTAAAGGAAAGAACTAAGGAATCTTATTTAATATTATATTAAATTAGAGCTATAATCTTATGCTCGGGTATCTATAATTATAATGCTTTAATTTATATTTCGACTAAAGAATTAGTTAAATACTCTCTTATAATGCTAAGATATCCTCTATATTAAATAATAACTTAGATTAAAGATTTTAAATTTCTATTAATAATAAAAAAGTTAGGAAAAAATAAATATAAGATACCTCTCTACCTATAGGGATAAAATATAAATACTATAATAGATAGAAATAATAATAATAAAGAATAATCGCATAAATTATATAATAGTTCTATATACTTAAGAAAGACCTTAAAAAACTAAAAAAGGATAGCCCGGAAGAAGAATAACTTAAGAATATACTATAGAAGTATTAAATCTATAAATAACTCTTCGCGGAAGAACTTAAAATAAGTCTACCGGAATATATACCCTATGACCTTAAGATTAAGTTTATTAATAAGAAGTAACCCGGCTTTAGTAAACTTTACTTACTTAACGAAGCATAACTTCTAATATTAAAGAAATATATCAAAGATATAATATAGAAAAGATATATTAAGGAAAATAAATTATTTATTAGATACCTCATTATATTTATTCTAAAGAAGAATAATAAACTCTAATTTTATATTAATTTCTAAATACTTAATACTATTATAGTTAAGGATTATATACCGCTACCTCTTATTAGCGAGTTAAAGGATTAACTTTTTAAAATAAAATATTTTATTATACTTAACCTTAAAGGAGCCTATAACCTTATCTAGATTAAAGAAAGATATAAATAGAAAACCGCTTTTTATATTAAATATAGATTATTTAAGTACCTCGTTATACCTTTTAGACTTATTAATATACCTATTATATTCTAATAAATAATTAATAATATACTATAAGAATATCTAGATATATTTATTATATATTACTTAGATAATATCCTTATTTTCTTTAGAATAGAAAAAAAATATATAGAATATATCTATAAGGTATTATAAATACTATAGAAT